CGTCTGTTTACTGTACTTTACTGCATCTGTTACTGCATCTGTTTACTGTACTTTACTGCGTCTGTTTACTGTACTGCATCTGTTTACTGTACTTTACTGCGTCTGTTTACTGTACTTTACTGCCCGTTTACTGTACTTTACTGTCTGTTTACCTCTACTTTACTGCCTGTTTACTGTACTTTACTGCCTGTTTACTGTACTTTACTGCCTGTTTACTGTACTTTACTGCCTGTTTACTGTACTTTACTGCCTGTTTACTGTACTTTACTGCCTGTTTACTGTACTTTACTGCCTGTTTACTGTACTTTACTGCCTATTTACTGTACTTTACTGCGTTTGTTTACTGTACTTTACTGCCTGTTTACTGTACTTTACTGTCTGTTTACCTCTACTTTACTGCCTCTTTATTGTACTTTACTGCCTGTTTACTGTACTTTACTGCGTTTCTTTACTGTACTTTACTGCGTCCGTTTACTGTACTTTACTGCGTCCGTTTACTGTACTTTACTGCGCCTGTTTACTGTACTTTACTGCGCCTGTTTACTGTACTTTACTGCGCGTTTACTGTACTTTACTGCGTTTCTTTACTGTACTTTACTGCCCGTTTACTGCGTTTCTTTACTGTACTTTACTGCCTGTTTACTGTACTTTACTGTCCGTTTACTGTACTTTACTGTCCGTTTACTGTACTGTCTGTTTACTGTACTTTACTGCGTTTCTTTACTGTACTTTACTGCGTTTCTTTACTGTACTTTACTGTCCGTTTACTGTACTTTACTGTCTGTTTACTGTACTTTACTGCGTTTCTTTACTGTACTTTACTGTCTGTTTACTGTACTTTACTGTCTGTTTACTGTACTTTACTGTCTGTTTACTGTACTTTACTGTCTGTTTACTGTACTTTACTGTCCGTTTACTGTACTTTACTGTCTGTTTACTGTACTGTCTGTTTACTGTACTTTACTGCGTTTCTTTACTGTACCTTACTGTCTGTTTACTGTACTTTACTGTCTGTTTACTGTATTTTACTGTACGTTTACTGTACTTTACTGTCTGTTTACTGTACTGTACTGCCCGTTTACTGTACTTTACTGCGTTTCTTTACTGTACTTTACAGCCTGTTTACTGGCTATGTTCCATTCAGTGCTGCATGTTGAGCTCTGCTACCATAAATGGAACAGAACCTTAATCAGATAACACCTGTGTTTACCCGACTATTTCATGTTACGATGGCTGCAGTGAAAAAGGTCTAAGCCTACCAATGTTCCAGTTTTGGTGCTAGCAGCTCTGTGGGGCTGTGCTGCACAGTGTAGCTCTGAGCTAAATGCTAACACGCTAACATTCTGATGTAAAACAACAACCTTCACACGAGAGAAACAAACTGAATGGAACCAGACCCAAGCTAACATATCTAACAGTGCGACTGGTCCTGGTTTTCCTGTGGGACCCCGGACCCTCCTCAGGGGCCCCGGCTCTGCAGACAGCTGACGGTGTGTGAGTGGAATAGAGGCTGGTTGTTACTGCTGCTGTTTGTGTATGAGCTCACGTCCTGACACACACACACACACACACACACACACACACACACACACAGTCTGAAGCAGTGAAGCAGAACAACTATAAACATGAACAACTGTGAAAATTATTACAGCATCAATACACACACACACCTGCAGGAGAAACACACACACACACACACACACACACACACACACACACACACACACACACGTCTGAATCCTAAAATACAGACGACTGCAACTGTTGGGTCTCTGTAAATAATGTTATAAAGAGTTCGGTCTAGACCTGCTCTATTCGAAAAGTGTCCTGAGATAACTTCTGTTTTGAACTGGTGACATACAAACAAAACTGAATTGAATCCATTTACTGTACTGTACTCTACCGTACCCTAACCTACTCTATCGTACTCTATCCTACTCTATCCTACCCTATCCTACTCTACTGTACTCTATCCTACTCTATCCTACTCTATCCTACCCTATCCTACTCTACTGTACTCTATCCTACTCTACTGTACTCTATCCTACTCTATCCTACTCTATCCTACCCTATCCTACTCTACTGTACTCTATCCTACTCTACCGTACCCTAACCTACTCTATCGTACTCTATCCTACTCTATCCTACCCTTTCCTACTCTACTGTACTCTATCCTACTCTACTGTACCCTATCCTACTCTATCCTACTCTACTGTACTCTACCGTACCCTAACCTACTCTATCCTACTCTATCCTACTCTACTGTACTCTATCCTACTCTACTGTACTCCATCCTACTCTACTGTACTCCATCCTACTCTACTGTACTCTATCGTACTCTATCCTACTCTACTGTACTCTATCCTACTCTATCCTACTCTACTGTACTCTATCCTACTCTATCCTACTCTACCGTACCCTATCCTACTCTACCCTACTCTATCCTACTCTACTGTACTCTATCCTACTCTACTGTACTCTATCCTACTCTACCCTACCCTACTCTATCCTACTCTATTGTACTCTATTGTACTCTACTGTACTTTACACTACTCTACTGTACTCTATCCTACTCTACCGTACCCTACCGTACTCTACTGTACTCTACCGTACCCTACCGTACTCTACTGCGTTTACCGTACTAATGAATATGTTTATTGAACTTTACTGTATTTATATATTCTATACACACAATCTAACCTGGGACCTGTTAGCTTTAGCCTCAGTCTGTTGATGTAAGATAAAACCATAACTCCACACTTCATAATGTGACTTTGTTCATCAATCCCTCCATCTTAATGTAATCTTCATGTAGCACTAAAGCGAACTGTTCTCTCTACAGCTGAACAATAGCAGGAACTGTTAGCTGGTCTAATCACAGCGATCAAGGCTGAGCTATGATCCTGTATTAACATCCACCTTATCTGAAGCTCACACTCAGTAACAAACTGGCATTCCAGCTCCATTAAATCACCGTCAGCTTGTTTTTTCCATCAAGGTGTGACTGACAGACGTGACCAGTGTGTGTACAGTTTATCTCTCAGCGCCGCCGGATCAGCGCCACTACACTAAATAATGACCCGTGTGCTGTGGTATGTGTGTTAAATACACAGTAAGCTCGTGTTAACATGTCCAAACATGCATGATTATAATGTCTGCTCTTGTATCGCTAACACCGCCGCCAGATAAACATTACACACAGTCAATACACAGTGAGGTTTATTTATGTTGTATTATAGTAAAAACAAAGAAACTATATTGATGCCTTTCAAATAATTTAACTAGGATACTGATTGTATGTCTATTTTGTTGAATCTTGTTTTTTAATTATGCTTAAGTTTTCATCCTTATCTTTTCCTGACATTAATAAGCTTCTACATGAAAGACTAACCAGGCTGAAAACAATGCTAACTGGCTAACTCCAGCTGGTAGCAAGCTAGAGCAAGTGGGTTTGTTTGGTTTTAACCAAAGTAAGTAAGTAACCCGTCCGGCTGCAGGCCTCCTTTTGAGAAAATAACTAAAAATGACGCCTTTTGACACATTACCTTGTTAGTTTAATACTTATTGGCTAAAAATGTGTGTCAGAATAAGTAATTTCATTGGTTACATTTTCCTGTCCTGACCTATCAACACATGGCTCATTTTAATATTCAAATGAGCCATGTTTGATTCGCCACATGCTCTCACACTGTTGCTTCCACCAAGCTGTCAATCAGAAAACGTAACATTAGCTAAAGGCGGTTGTTGGACTGAAATTCTGAAAATGCCGAAGCGAAAGACCTCGTTTAACCTTTAGATGAACTCTATGAGGAATATGGCGTAGTGGAAGCTGCACTCAGAAATGGAAGGTTGCTACAGTGAGGAGCTGTATCTGAAACTATTTTCCAGAGCAGATGTCCCACTTGAGAATCTGAGGAAGGTCAGTGCCTACATCTTCTCAATCCCATGTAGCAACGCACGTACAGAGCGTGTTTTTTCAATGATGACCACAGCCTGGAGAAATTAGAGAAATCGACTGGAAGTGGACATTGTCAAGGCAGAACTGCAGATTTGCATTAATTTCACAGACCAGTGCACAGAGATATACAAGAAATTCCTTGCGAACAAGAAACTCTTGGAAGCAGCCAGGAAAGGGCTGAAGTATCGCAAATAGACTGTGTGCCAGTTCCAAGAGGCCAGACCTCCCTTCTACCATCAGATTCTCTATCAGCCTCAACCAGCCTCTACCCAGCCTGTTACCAGCTGCCTGAACTCCAGGTGAGAATGTCATACAACTCTGTCCTGTTCATGTTATTTAGCAATATGGATAAGGAAAGGCTATGTGTCTCAACTTGTTTCATCAGTGTGATTTTTCTTGTGTTTCATTGTTGATGCTACAGATCCACAATGCTCAGGCCTTCTGTGTCCTGCCTCAACCAGCCTCTGTGAAGCAACCTTGAGGACTCACAGTCACAGATGGACTCAGATACTCAGATGTATAGGCAAAGCCTATAATACATCAGAAGGTTTTTTACCCTTTATCTATCCAGATAAAACATTAAGAACAGTTTCTGTATGATGTTTATTAGACCTATGTAATCTGAATTGGAAGGGCACGTTGTCATGAGCTGTATCTTATTTATTATTAGCTATGTGGTATGTGTATGCACCTTTATGTAATCTGCTGGAAAAACATTAAAATTTAAAACCGGATCATACCAAACAAATATCTGCTTGCGTGTCCCCGTGTATGCAAAGTGTGCTCCTTTTGGTTGTGAAGGAAATGGCCACCCTATACTAACTAAGTAACTAAGTTGCGGAGCTGGTTGAGTGTAAACTCTTAGTCTGATTACCTTCTGTTTTATTTTATCATTTAAATGTTTATTTCTGATCTTGGTCTCTTTAATTGTTTTGTAAAATACTTTCAATTGTCTTGTTGTCTAAATGTACGAATAAATAATAAACATAAACAAAGTGTTGGTTATGATCTCAGTATATTTGATCGTGTTGCGTTCACTGACCTGCGGCCGCAGTGACGTGCACGGTGTACTGCCCCTTCTGAGTGTGGAAAGTCTTCACACTGGTCTTGATGGATGATGATGAAGACGAGGAGTAAGAGGAGGAGGAAGGGGAGGTCGCGGTGAGAAGTTTCTTTCTCTCCTTTTCGATGTGCCTCATCAGCAGGGCGGCCATCTTGTCTCCTCTTCCTCCCCGAGACAGAGTCTTCCTCAGCAGCACAGCCTGGGCCTCCCTCACACTGACACACAAACACATCATAAATACATCTTTTACACAATATACACAGTTAAGAAAGCTTAACTACAGTTAGCGATTGATTACGTACATTCGGGACTCTGGGGGGCCTATCAGCAGGCAAAGTGTGAAAACAGGTGACTCAGTAATTTGTTTGTGGGGTGCCTCAGTCAGAATACCGGAGATAAAGCAGTTAATGTTGACTTCGCAGGGCGTGTGGCGTCACGTTCCCTGATTGCGAACTTTCAGCGCGAACGTTGCCTAGCAGCGCTCCGCCATTGTCGGATAAAAAGGTGAGTGTGCGGCGAGGGAGCGGCGGAAGAGCGGCCTCATGTCTGAGCAAAAGTATGCTAACTGTTCTGTTCTTGGCTGCACAGCCCAGCACAGAGCTCTACATACAGTCCCAGTCTCAGAGGATTCAGGAGTCCTGTGGATACAGTTTATATATGACGGCAATGTCCCGGCTCGGGTCAACAAAACAATACATGTGTGTTCGAACCACTTCCTGATGGACTGTTGTCTGAACCTCGGTCAGTACAATGCTGGACTGTCCCAAAAACTGTTGCTGAAAATGGGAGCAGTACCAACTGTCCGTGGCAAGATGGCAGAGGAAGAAAGTATTTTTAAGAGTTTATGCTTTGTTTTTCATTGTTTGTGTAACGCTAGCAAACGCTAACTGCTGTTAACTGCTGGAGCCTCAGTGACGCTAACGTAACAGTTATTCTGTTTGTTAACGTTAAATGTTTGTTAAATGTGTGCAAGATGCACTTCAAACTTATAAGGTTACTTATGGTAACTTATAACCATATTCTTCCCTGCTGATATTTTAATAGAGATTCACCCAACGTTTACCCCCGCTGACAGTATCTCAGTGCAGGAGGACGACTCGGTAAAAGTTACCGGTACTGTTGTGTGCTTTGTGGCCGGGGGAAGTTGACTTAATGTGCGTCTGTATTTTGGATAACGTGCATGCTTTTCATGAAGTACTATGCTTGTGTGTGGCGCTGCTAGAATGAGCAGAGACGTGACCTCTGAGCTAACAAACTGTAGCGGCAAGCCTCATCAGCTGTTCCGCTCGTTGAACTACGTTACGTTACTTTATGATGTAGCTGGTCGGTACGAAGGACACAAAGTGAAACATTATGAGACAGTATTTGCTTTTACTGCATTACAAATTACTTCGGTAACTCCTTCTTGTTCAGGGTCTGACTCTGGTTCAAACATATATGGTTGGACCACAAAGTTTCCTCCAGTTGCCATCTTTCTCCCAGGGTTCACGTTTAACTGTTGTCATGGTAGCGTGAAGCGTGCCGGCGTCGGACACAGGCACTCAAACCCGACCGCTCAGAACAGGGCTGCTTTGAACTGCTGTGGTGCTTCATCCTTATGGTATTTTGAATTTCTACTGGTGTTGTGTGGTTAAAAGTCATGTTAAACAAGACACGTCTAGGTAAACTAAGAAAGCTTACCTACAGTTAGTGACCCAAGATTAACTAAGCTACCTTAGTGTTAATTAAAATAAAATTAGAGCATACTGGTGTCGTGTGGTTTCAACTATTAATAGGCTACATAAACTAATCCTGGAGGCTATCGGAGTTCATGCTACGTTCACGTTAGCGGCTCTTCGTTGGATTTGGAGAAGTTTACAATCCAGAAACAACAGCTAACGATACCGTTCCAATCAGGTAAAACTTTTTCTTGTAACATTCAGAGTGAATAAATATACATTATGTTTATGTTATTTACAGTTAATTCCAGTATTTAACAGTTTGTCTTACCATATTTAAAACACTAGGACAACCTTTACATTGCAACAGTTACTTACTGTTTATATAGTTTACTTGTTTATTTAGTTACTTACTCAGTAAAATAAAGTCAAATATGATGAACTTTGCTCGCACTGTTAGCACTGTTAGCTGAATGGAAGGATGACAGGTTAGCAACAGTAACTAAGGAGACTTTAAAATATGAACTGATCCGGCTGCTGTTTGTGTTGGAGCCGGTCTGACAGTCTGTAGGAGTGCAGAGAGAAATGGAGGGAGTGAACTGTCTGAAACGTGATTTAAAACGACCTCAAGCAGTCGGAGGGAATAAATAACGCAGATAACCAACAACAGCCAGAGACGCCCTGCAGTCGGATTATTCCTCAGTCCTCAAACGTTACAGCTGCCGCTCTGTTAGCAGCCGCTTCACACAATGTTACTTTAAAAATATATTAGCTTCATATTTCGAAGTAAGGAGGTGAGGAGACGAAGTAAGGAGGTGAGGAGAGGAAGTAAGGAGGTAAGGAGAGAAAGTAAGGAGGTGAGGAGAGGAAGTAAGGAGGTGAGGAGACGAAGTAAGGAGGTGAGGAGAGGAAATGAGGAGGTAAAGAGAGGAAGTAAGGAGGTGAGGAGAGGATGTAAGGAGGTGAGGAGAGGAAGTAAAGAGAGGAAGTAAGGAGGTGAGGAGAGGAAGTAGAATCCTCCAGAAGCTCCTCGAGGTCAGTTTTTTTTTTCCCACAGTCTGTCCTGACCCCGGCTCTGACCCCTGGCCTCCACAACCTTTGACCTCTGACTCTATTGATTGTTGAAACTGAGTTTTCACAGGCTGACAGAAAAGTAAAAAGTAGAAATACTCCACTGTGAGTAAAAGTATTGAACTTGTTCCTGTTAGAGTTTTTATCTGATTTGTAGAACAGTGATGCAGCAGCGGCTGCAGTGTGTATTATCAGGGGAACAGCTCCACCTGCTGCCTCAACACAGAACTGCAGCTTGATTTTCATCTACTTTAATACTTTAACTACATTTTCCTGATTATACTTTTACTTAAGTTACATTTTCTTTTTTTTCCTTTTTTTTTTAAAGTATATTTTATTATAGTGACAGCTGAAGACAGACAGGAACGGGGGGCAGAGCGAGGGGACGACACGCAGCAAAGGGCCGCAGCCCTAAGTTACATTTTCAACACAGTACTTTTATTTATCTCCGAGTACTTCACTAAAGATTATAAACTTGATTTACCTCAACACCTGGTTCTTTGCTCCTCCAGTCTTCACCTCCTTCTTCCCTCCCCTCAGCCCGGGGAACTCTGGACCAGGACCAGCACTGTCAGCTGCTTTAGACTCAGGAGGACTTTTCGGGGAGGCCTGGTTCTCCACCTGCAGGAGAAACCCCTTGTTGGAGGTCTTAGGCTGCTCCTCTTTGTTGTGGGTCTCAGTAGAGGATGGATCCAGGTCTGAGGTTTTGGGTTTGCTGCTGGTCTCTGGTAGTGAGGGAGCTGAGGAGGAGGAGGAGGAGGAGGAGGAGGAGGAGGAGGAGAGACTGAGGACCTTCATCGTTCTGAGTACTTGGCTGGGAGGAGGTCTGGAGGCTGGTTCTCGGGGTCCGTTGGGGTTTTTGGGGATCAGGTCCTGGATGCTAGTGGGATGGACGGAGGTCAGTGTTACCGTGGGAACCTCACAGCGGTAACCGTGGAAACCTCGACGACACACGCAGCGGTTGGACTGCCGACACAGCGCGTTGTTATGGCAACGGGGAAAACACCTGGCTGCAGGAGGAGGAGAGGAAGTAAGGAGGTAAGGAGAGGAAGTAAGGAGAGGAGGTAAGGAGGAGTTCGGTTATATTGAATTAAACTTTATTTAAACTATATCCAGCAGCAGACGTCTTTAATAAAGTTGCAATATATTAAAATAGATCAATAAATCAGGTCTCTACTGGATCATTACGTCACAAAATGGCTGCCATTAATGAGGTTTGACCATCAGTGAGAGTAAATCTGCGTTTGGGTTTAAACTTCGTTAGTGAATGAGGAGATTTTACTTTATATTAGTGCTGTCAGTTAAACGCGTTATTAACGGCGTTAACACAAACCCATTTTAACGGCGTCAATTTCTTTATCGTGAGATTAACGTTCTTTTTGGCCTAGCACACTTTGTAGTTTTTTTCACATGCTGTTGCAACAACTAGTAACGTTAGAAAAACTACAACACCCACCGGATCTAGCTAGACCGGAAACAGAACAACAGGCACGCCGCACACACTTGTTTAAGAGTAGTAGACGTTACGTTTTGAGTGGATGGCGAGCGCGAGACGCCGAAATGGATGCCAATAATATTCTGAATGGAAAGTTTACTTTTAAAAAGTTTCCAAATGTTTCCATTGACAAGACCAAAGTGATCTGTGTGTTTTGTCGCATTCTCCGCCCCCTCATCAAAGCCAGGCGACAACGGATGATTTTTCAATAAAAACAACATTTGCACAAAGCAAGCCGATCCACTTTCCCATGTTGATAAGAGCATTAAAATGAGAAAAAATAATGGGACAAAAAGAAATCAAGGGACATTTAGAACAGATAAAAATGTTATATGTTATAATGATAAAAAATTAATCGCAATTAAATATTTTAATCGCTTGACAGCCCTACTTTAGAGTAAAGTGTCCTGCTTTTATTTTAGTAATTCGGTGTTTAACATCCTCCACACAGATTCTTCAGTGAGGCTGTTCTTTCAAAGTAAAAGCCCCATAGGGTAAGTAAAGACCCCAATAGCTTGTTAACCGGAGGGATGCATCTATTTTTCAAAATAAAATCCCCAGATAATAACTATCTCAACAGGAAACTACAGTTATACTTTTTCGAAATGTTCTAGTTATCACAACTTAGAAATAATTTACAATCTAATGAGGCTGAGTTAGAACTTACACACTGTCTGTCTGCCTGCCTGCCTGTCTGTCTGCCTGTCTGTCTGCCTGTCTGCCTGTCTGCCTGCTATACAATTCCTGTTTGTTTGTGGTGTTTTTTCAGGACAATGTGACCAAACAGTAAAGCTTTACTCTGAGCCCACTGTGTGTGTGTGTGTGTGTGTGTGTGTGTGTGTGTGTGTGTGTGTGTGTGTGTGTGTGGAGAGAGAGAGAGAGTAAATCTGTTTCCATTCACGAGTTTCTTTCACAGCCATTTAATCCCAACCTGAAAGAAACCATTTGGATCTGTGAGTGTGTGTGTGTGTGTGTGTGTGAGAGAGTGTGTGTGTCTTTGTGTGTGTGTGTGTGTGTGTCTTTGTGTGTGTGTGTGTGTGTGTGTGTTTGTGTGTGTGTGTGTGTGTGTGTGTGTGTGTGTGTGTGTGTGTCTGTGTGTGTGTGTGTGTGTGTGTGTGAGTGTCTCCGTGTGTGTGTGCGTGTGTGTGTGTGTGTGTGTGTCTGTGTGTGAGTGTGTCTGTGTGTGTGTGTGTGTGTGTGTGTGTGTGTGTGTGTGTGTGTGTGTGTGTGTGTGTGTGTGTGTCTGTGTGTGTGTGTGTGTGTGTGTGTGTGTGTGTGTGTGTGTGTGTCTGTGTGTGTGTCCAGTAATTTGACCTTTTTCTGTCATTCTCAGTTCTGCAGTCAGTTAGCCTAGCTTAGCATTAAGACTGGGAGTTTTATGCTAATCAATTGTTTGCTGCCTAGCAACCAATACTGAGTCAGTGTCTCAGTAAGTTGGTCTCTTACCCATAATGCCCCTCTCTGAGTACGTCCACAAAGACTAAGAATCTTAATTCAATCAAACTGAGAAACCACAAGGAGCTTTTATCAAAACGTTGTTGTTCATTTGAGGGAAAACAGCAAGAAATTGACTAAAACACCAGCTGGCAAGTTATTAGAAAGCTCAGTGTAATCAATCTCTTATCAGTTGACATGTTTGTTATATTTATAACACTTTCAGCACTTTACCTCGCTGTGAGACCGAGAGAGTGGCTGCGCTGCCTCCGTCTGCAGCAACTAACGAATTAACGTTTGTTAAGACACCAAAGTCTGGAATTAAACAGATATAATACAATGTGCACAGAATGTAGTGAAACTAGACGGACGTTGTTTCACTGTATTTGGCAGAAAGATTAAAACGTTCTGGGAGGAGTTAAAATCAAGAAGATTATTTCACTGGATCCTATAAGCTTCCTCTGTCGGCTTACAGCCACAGAAACATAATTATAGTAAAAATCAACGAGCATTTATAGACCTCAGCTCGCTCTACTCTAGAAAAACACGTATCACACCGTTGTGGAAAAAGATTCACGGACTCAGTGGATGAAACAGATGTAAACTTAGATATTAAAGGCTTAACTGCAGGTATTTGAGAACATTTGGAGTCTCATTTGATTTAATTTGTTTTACAGTGTAAATATCTTTAATTAAACATTAAAAAGATGTATGTATGTAAAACTAAGCTAAATAACTGAATTTTATTTATTATTTTAAGTTATTTTCTGTAATTTTACATATAAACTATAAGCACAGCACACAAGTTATTGACAGAAAGTCAATGGTTGATCAGAACATAAAGACGGCGCAGTAGGTTTTATGGGTCAAGCTCTACATGTGGATTATATAAAAGATCACCTTCAGTGTAGGAACCATAAAGTACAGAATCACTGTAAGTCCCTGAAGGGGCCACGGATCCGGTCATAAATCCTGCTCTGCAGACCGACTCACACTTTGAACCGAGCCATAAAGGAGTGACGCAGCATCAATCAGCTGTTTATAAAGTCTGATCGCTCACATCTGCAGTGACTCAGCAGCTTCACGCTGACTCTGCTGCTCTGGAAGGACTTTTACTCGGCTACAGGCAGGTTGCATTAATTATTATATCTGAAGGGATTATTATCATTATTACAGCAAATTAATCACATTTTTAGTGATTGGTGGTGAAAATTTAAGTTTTCTATGGGTCTCGCACATGGGTGTGGCCAAATGGCTCAACAGCGCCCCCTAAAGAGAAACCCCCAGCGGCACGTTTGAACGTGTCTAGACGGCAACAGGAAGTCGGCCAATTTGAATTCATCACAATATAATATTTTCCTTTATTTCCCGACACCCCTACTGGACACCCCAAGTATTTCTTTGCAAACTCAAACTAAAGTTCCAGTGTGAAGGATTTAGTGACATCTAGCGGTTTAGTTGCTGATTGCAACTCACTCGCCTCACCCTGCCTGTCTAAAATATGATTATTATTATTTTGTTATAAATTAAAGTGTCCAATAATTTACACACCTGAAACAATTAGTCCACTAATCAACTGACAGGAAATTAATTGGAGTCGTTGAAGTCACAAATATGAAGATTTGCTGCTTTTCCTTCTAATTATTTTTTCTAATAGACATTTTCTGTCTATTGTCTATTTTACATCCGAATAAAGTCGCAACAATTCGAAAGAAAATTAATCAGGAAAAAGCAGAAATTTAAAATATTTTCTGTGTAAAGATTCTCATTTATGATGATCTTTTCTTTTGTGTCACATGTTGTAATGCTCCTGTTCAGGTCTTTTCTGGACTCTAATAATCAATAATCAAGTCCCCAAACGGTGACAGTGAACAGCTGCTGTTTCAACTCACATTTTGCTCTTTTGTTGATGGTTTTCTACTCGTTACTATCTGGAAGTGACGCCTACAATCGGCCGTATTGACACTGAGGTTTGGTTTACACAGTATGTCTAAATACTACAGTACCCATGAGCCTCAGCGGCTGCTGCTGTGGGTTGATTAAAATCAGAAGCAATGCATTCTTGGAGTTGTAGTTAAATCTGCTCCTTTGACTTTGTCCAATAAAAACTGAATTTATTTAACATTTGAAATACATTTTTCGATGATGAATGATATTACATGTAATTATTCTTTACACACAAGCGTTCTGAGATTCATTCTTTATGTCAGATTTTGCTCAGAGAGTATACAGACCTACAGATGTTTCTGTGGTCCAGATGAGTTTTATTGAGGACTGACAGCAGTTTTCTGTTGAATATCTGCAGCAGGAACATATTAAACTGCTGCTGCTGTTTTATTACAACACGAAACTGAACCTGAACACAGATCAGCGATAAAACTACAGATGTTCAGACTGGAAACTACATCGCTGTTAATCCTATTTTGATAAAAATCAGTGGGAATTTGGTCTAAAAGAGACCATTTATATCATTATTCTCTGTCAATAATCACTTATAATAGTTCATTTGTTTGATGCCAATTTAGATCAAATCAATCAATCAAATCTACATCAAAAAGTAAAAATACTCATTATACATAATAATATATATGACATATTATAGTTATTGATGGATTATTATTGAACGTATCACTTTAATACTGCAGCTGATAAATGTGGAGCTAATTTTAATGACTTTATACACTGCTGGCTAGTTTAATCTTTAAGATTACATCATCATTTATTAATTAATTGATAATATTTTGTATTAATATGTAAAGTAACTCTAATCATATATATTGACAAAGGGAACTTGGTGGAAGCTTTGTGGATAAAACAAACCCTCCTTATCTCCAAACTCTCCAGCTTCTCTAAAAAAACCCCGTCATGGTTTGGATCATATCTTTTGAACCGTGAACAATGTGTCATCATGAACAATAAAACATCCTCTCTTTTGAAGAGAACAACAGGAATCCCACAGGGATCGATGTTAGGGCCGATGCTCTTTAGTCTTTACATGAACGACCTTCCTGAATCTGGTCCTGGGGCTGTTCTTCAGATGTACGCAGATGATACAGTTATATACGCTAATGGAAAAACAGCCAAAAGAATCTGTAAGTTTACAGATTTTAAATATATGTTTAATTGAAAATAACTTGAAAAATCTGTAACTGACTCAAATTACTGCTTATTTAAAGAAAATGTTATCTCTTTCACATAAAGAGATTAAAATACATTTGCAAATTGTTGTATTAACTGTTTATTTAATAGATTAAACTGTTAAATCAAGTTTCATACTGCATTTCTAAAATTAGGCAAAATTAATAACAATTAACAGTAAAAATCTTCTTATAAATAATACATAAATAAATAAATATATCTTATATCTTGTATAATTATGGAAGTTTAAAACAAACAGAAAAAGAACAAAAATGTTCACAATACAGTTATCAGTGTAAACAACAATAATTACTGTAATTTCACAGATGATGACTTATTACAAATTAAAATATATATAATAAATAATAATATAAATAAAATAATAACAATCCAATAATAACAGCACTGCTGTAAATGTAAGTCTGATTATTGTATTATAGCAGAGTTCACCTGTATTTATAGATCATTGCATTGGTTTTACACTGTAAATATCTTTAATTAAATGCTGTTATACATTTGCTCGGGTTAAACAGTATTTGACTCTATAAATTAAATAAATAAACATCAAATGAGTAACTGAATGAATACTGAAGTAGACCAAAGACCAATCAGAAAGCCTCTGATCACATCACGTCTCAGGTGAGTGTGACATCATCGCTGTGTACTCACGTTTGGTGCATCGTCTGGTTTTCGGCGACAGAGTCCATCCGACACAACAGCGACCTCCACAGACACGAGGACTGCAGACAGAGCGAGAGAGATTTCTCTATTGATTATTGATTATTTACCAATACATTAAAGGACTACTGTGTAGGATTGAGCAACAGCAAGCGGTGAAATGGGCAAAAAAATGTGAACACCCCTATCCAGAGCCAGTTTTGTCCCTTTTGAGCTACCGTACGTCAGCACAGAGTGTTTTAATTCGTCGTTCTGAATGTTGTTTCCATTGGCCTTCTGGGAAAAAGGAGTCAATTAGCAGATCAACGCCGGCTCGGACATCAAACTGACTTCACAGCTGAGTGTAACAGGAAGTGTGTGTGTGTCTGTTGTTTGAGGAGAGTTTAACTTCATTTGAAAAGAGGAAACTAATCAGTTACATTATTGATTGTTGGAACAGTGGAAACACCAACACTTTATTGTGTTTCTGTTTCTGTCCACTTTAATGAAGTTCTGATGATCTGAAGGTAAAATGAGTGTTTCTGTCTCTGGAGTCTGGTGGAGAGTGATAGTGATATTACGACTGTTTGTGGTTAAACTAAAGGTCTATTGCTGCGATCAGTTTGTCTCGTAAATCCCCCGCCCAAGTTGGAAAGTGTAAATCTCGCAGCAATCTCGCGACATTTCACCGAGACACGCGCGCTTTTGGTTGTAATATCAGCCGTCCCACTCGGGGCTCCTCAGAGTTCACCGTTCACGTATGACGTTTGTACTAGGCTGGTCGTTTTAATGTCGATTTTAAATGCTCCTACACACTGTTTACATTGCTGCTTTAGTCCCGTCACCAATGTATGCATTGCACGGTGTTGCTGTGCTGCAATACAATGTAAAGTTTTGTTTTTGAGCAAAATAGGCTAATGTAGCTAACAATAACACTAGCCTGCCACTGCCCCTGGAGGCCCCTGGAGGCCCCTGGTGGCCCATGGAGGCCCCTGGAGGCCCCTGGTGGCCCCTGGAGGCCCCTGGTGGCCCCTGGTGGCTTCTGGTGGCCCCTGGTGGCCCCTGGTGGCTTGAGACAAACGCCACAGCACTTGTTGAAATTGAAAAAGGCAGAAATGGCAAAATATTGTTGAAATGTAAGACTTGCAATAACGGAATTATTTGAAATGTTAGTGTTTCTGTAGAAAAACTTTATTATTTCACATTGAGCTCGTTTAGATGATTCACAAACAATAACAACACAGCTGCTGCACTGGTGGCGTCCGTGTTCTTTCCGACTCGTAATGCCCAAAGACAACTGGAACGCTATGAGTGGTACACGCCAGACAATTACGTCACGTTCTCGCATCAGAGCAACTCGGGTCATAAAACAGGGCGAACACTGTTAGTAACAAACAACAACTTAACGAGACAAATGTTATGGATAGCATCATATCTCTGTTAGGGGATCCTTTCCATAATGCTGTCAGACACTGGAACAATCAACAACCTGAGTAAAACTGTTAGTGGAACAAACAACAACTACTGTTAGTGGAACAAACAACAACAAAAAAAAGAACAACAACTACTGTTAGTGGAACAAACAACAACAACTGTTAGTTGAACAAACAACAACAACTACTGTTAGTGGAACAAACAACAACAACAACTGTTAGTGGAACAAACAACAACTACTGTTAGTGGACGACATTGACAGCGCAGGGAATAGCTAACGTTAAATGGCAACCATAGCAACCTGTTTAACGGTTATTTTCTCATCTTATTTGGTGAATTAAAGATTTATTTCCACCAAACCCGAGTTGATTACTGTTGGAAAGACTAACAAAGAAGGTTTGGGTGAATTTAATTTTGTTTCTGTTCACTTTGAAGAGTTTTACAATTATTAAGTAAAAGGACTGGTTTTGTTAATGGAGTCTGGTGCTCTAGTGCGACATCTAGTGGCAATAAAAACCAGTGTTACTGCAAATAAAGAGCCATTTTGCATGAGGAGTACTTGTTGCACTATATTTTGATGCCAGCTGATGAAGAGTAATTGGGTCTAAATGGCAGTTTTAAGTGTTGAAAGTTGATCCCAGTTTTTATGGTCATGTGATAACAGATCTGGATCCAACGAACAGACTCCATATTGGATTCAGATTGGATGAAAACGGGAGCGCAGGATGGACGGACGAGGCTGTGTGGACACAACTTCTGTGCAGAGGATTTAAATCATTACTCACAGTGAGCTGGTTGTATTGTTGCATATAGGAGGCCCCACTTCACACACACCAACACACCAAGACCTGTACGTGTACACACAGACAGTCTGGTCCCGGCCTGAGTCAGAAATCACTCTACATTTAATATATAGCTCATTCATTAACTGCATTCAGTGTGGAAATGTAAAGAATTCATTCATTTTACAGTGTTTATTTCGGCTCTTCTATATTAGTCAAATTATAGTCTCAATTTTGTCATTTGTTTTCTCTGCCAATCTTTCTTAGGCTTAAGCCATCTTTGTTGTATACAGTTACCGTGGTTACAGATGTGTTTCGTCTGGAATAATAAGTGCTGCCTGCAGGTAGGTCATGTATTGTACAGTGGAGGCCATGTTTGTAGTCCTGTTGTTGGAAAGCTGAGCTCAGTCGGTGGAAATACTGGATTTCAAAAAGGTGCTGCAACGTCTCAGAGCAAAACGAATAACGATTTACCTCCCAGACCGTAAAACTATATAATATTAGTTTGTCCAACAACAATCATCAACTCCGGTTTGGTTGAAATAAATCCTTAATTCAGTACAATAAGGGGATGCAGGAGATTTGAAGGGAGTGAGAAAATAAAACACATTATAAAGAGTCTCAGTTTAATACTGGAGCATCTATGTGACTTACGGAAACAAACCATCAGAGAGCAGACTGGATGTTTCTGTATAGTTATTATTAATGTCTGCCACTGGGGGCGCATTCCCCTTGAAATCAATGAAACAAGGGTGTAGAAACACTACTGCTGTTGTCCACAGGGGGCGCCAGATTCAACACAAAAGGACAGTTCCTCGTAGCTGCTTTAAGTAACAGAACATCTCTTGTTCTCACTGTGAGGAAACATAAAAGCATCTCGTCCGTTCGCCCACACTCTCACCACCTTCAAATAAAATATCCTCCTTTCTTCTTCCTGGGAACACTGAGGCATCTGTTGACCTCAACTCTTCATCTTCTGTTGCTTTCTTCCACAGACAAGAAATTTCACCTCAGTCACACTAAAGCAGCAAGAAACACAGGTCGCATTCATCCAAACTGAGCTGAAACAGTTGAACTCAGACAGCTTTCTGTTTGTATCTTGTTCACTGATCAGATGTGGAGATTAAAACACTTTAAAACCAAAGACTAGTGCTGAAAGGATTAATCCATTAATTGACTGAATAGAAAATAATTGACTGCTATGATAACAAATTGTTTAATTAATTTATCAAATAAAGGGTAAGCTGCTTCCAGCTTCTTCAGTGTCTCAGATTTTCTCTCTTTAATATTTCAGAAATCTATTTTACTTGTAATCTGAGTCTGACTGTAGTCTGTTCGTTGTATATCAGTCTTGGTGAGGACCAAAATTAATTAGAGTAGAGGACATTTTTTAAAACCGAGGACAATAGTGAGGATTTTCATCGGCTCTCACTTCTTCAGCATCGACACTACTGCGGCCTTTTGGACCCCTAAAACGGAGACATTTGGAAAAGCTGCGGGCCCATTTCAGTTTTAAAACGTCCAGAAACGATCGCTGATTGGCTCCTGGGGCCTTGGGATCAGTCGTGCCCTGTCTTGTAACCCTTTTCCACAACTTTAAAATGAAACCTCGGCAGCTTTCGGCTGACAGTCGGTGTAAAGTTGTGACGGCTAAAGTGAGGGAATGCAGTATGTCAGTGAGGGTCCTCACAAAGATAGAAGTACACGAGTCTGTGTGTTACTTTGAAGTCAAGAAGGACTCTTTCACCTTTTCACACATTCATACAAACCTACATCTTACCTCTTTAAATCTGCTGTTCACACACACACACACACACACACACACACACAGTTTATAAATCCAGTCAGTTCACAGGGTTTAGGATTAGTGTGTTTTAGTGTGTTTTAGTGTGTGTGTGTGTGTGTTGACTTTGCATCCATCACTTGACCGTCAGACTTGCACTTGAGGCTAGTCACACACACACACCCACACACACACAATTTCACACATTCCTGAGGCGTCTGCAGTCTGACACACCTGACAGATGCTGATTGGTTCGATGCTTTATGGTCGCGTTAGTTACAGACCGACAGCTGGATGGAGAACAGACCACCGACCGGACTGCGTTCAGGTCAGCGGAGTCTGTCCGTCAACAACCACCGACGTCCTGCAGAGCGGTCTGCAGAGCGAACGCCTCACAGCTGCTGACACGAGTCTGAACGCCAGAATCCGACTACACGTTGGTCCCCCAACCAATCACAACGCGCCGTCTTACAAAACTTTGTCATCAGGAAGGAAGAGCGAGGGGACGACTTCCTGGAAACTTCCTGCCGTCTGAAGCGCTGTGTGTTATTCCTCTTACAGGTGAAGAGCGCTCTGACCTCCTATCGGTCGTAGGATTTATAAAATATAAAATTATTTTTTTCTACGATTCACTACACGGGATGAAACCGTAAAAACCCCGAAAACTGTCGCGCCCAACGGACATCTTTTAAATAAGTATTTCATATAAAACGACCACATAGAAAGGCCTATTTATTATTATTATTATTATTACTGTTTGAATACTCAATAAATAATATTTATTTACTCATATTTGAAATAAAATACTGTATAAAATATATAAATGTGAGTAGTAAACACTCCATGTGACAGTAGTGACGACTCTTTCAGGTGCTGATTCATTCTCAGGTTGTCAAAGACGTGACGCGAGTGGTGTTCAGTCTGCACCTTCACCACCAGATGCCACTAAAGATACACAGTAGTCCTTCACACAGAAACTGTCTGTAATCAGAATAACAAACATTTAAAATCATTTCTATAAAGTAAAATAAGTAAATTAAAACTTCCTCTTGATAATAAAAACAATCATCGTGTGAATTAAAAATGATGAGATAAAGTTATTATGAGACAATATATTAAATCAAATTATGACATTTTTTATCTTTACAAAAACTTTTTAAGTTGTTTTTATTTATTTTATTTTACTGGCAGTACTGATCTTCCATAAATGTGTGTTATTCTGTAACAGCAGATATTTAAATACAGCCTCAGTGTTGGTGCTGCTCACCCGGTCAGAGCTGCTCTCACCGCCGCCGTCGGCGTCCTGGCGTCCGGCCGCGGCGGGGTCGGTGTCCCGGTGCTCTGCCTCCTCCAGCCGGGCTGCACGCCTCCCTCCTCCCGGGCAGGAGGATGCTGAGCGGCGGCGTGAAGAGTTAAAATCCAGCTGGTCCAAACGCACCACACCCGGAGCCGCATGTTGAGTTCAAAGACCGACAGAAAGTTAAAATATTTGTTTATAATATTACAAATTAAAACACCGCAGAGCTCATTGTGTGTGTTTCAAGTTCACAGAGAGTGTCGGACATCTGAGTTAGTGAAAGTTTCCCAGCTTTCACCTCTCCGGCCACCAGCTTTATTCTGCTGCCAGCCAATAGGAGCAGAGGATGGATGCTGCTCTGCTCCTATTGGCTGGCAGCAGAATCTGAGCAACCAATAAGAAGGCAGGATGAAGAAGAAGTTATTTTAAAGATGAGTTTTATTTGTGGATGCTTACTTAACAATACAATTTATATACAATGGTAATAAATATATTATATAAAGAATACACCTTTTAATAGAATTTGTACATTAATATGAACACATTATATTCATTTAAAGTCCAGAGTCACTTTTATTAGCTGCGTTTATATCTTATAATTATGACTTTATGATGAATTATGACAAAAGAAAACTATTTTAAACCTGTAATCCTGCAAATAATCCCTATTTTTATTAAACTTAATATTTTAGTTACATATATATATATAAAGTTATATTTAAAGTGCATGTGCAAATAACAAAATAAAAAATAAAATAAATAGAAAATAAATGTTGACCACCGTGTAGATTTGTGTTTGAGTGATGTTTATATGTTTTAATTTACAGGTACAGTGGATGTTTGATTGTGTCTGTAGCGCCCACCAGAGGGGAGAACAGGTCCTGACTCCGGACAGGTATCGGTCCTGAAGAAGAAGAGCAGTTGGCCTCACCTGCTGCCTCCTATTATTTATTTTATTGGTTAAATGTTTAATAAAACATTTATGTAAATGTACCAGAGTTTGCCAAGAGGCCTTTTTTTAAACAGAATATAAGATTCAAAGTTAATAATTTATAAAAACGCAACAATAATAATAAGAAAAGACAATATTAATGTGAATTGAAGTGTTATTCTGGACAATGTAACACAGATAATGTGTATAATATAATAGGAGAGCACAAACACAATACAATGACAGGTAATGGTCATAATGTTTGTGACAATAACTGAAACAGAAACACATACAAGTCTTATAGTCAGAATGTCAACCACTTATTAAATACTGTGTATTGATTATTGTGATTATTAGATATTTCTACAGCTGCTCCTCATATTCCAGTTCTTTTGTTTTGAAGGTTGACACCGGAAATGGTTGGTGACGCTGCGATTAGCTTTATGCTATTGGCTACATAATTATAAATAATACATCAATAAAACACTTTTACATAAAACCCGGTGCTTTATGCACTCGGTTACTGTGTGACATTAAATATATATTTATATATATTAGCTATTAGCTGTAGCTGATTCTAGTCTATTCTAGTCGAGGCTTTTGTTTTGAAGGTTGACACCGGAAATGGCTTTTGACGTTGTAGCTAGCTTGACGCTATTAGCTCCGGAGCTAAGCAGGTCTTCCCGCTTCCTGCAGCCGTTCACAACCAACAACCAACGAGTGTGTATTTAAACTGAATGACCTGTTAGGAGAGTTTAACGCGGTCCAGGAGACAGTTCACACACTTTCACCCGCGACCCGAGAGCTTATAAACGGACACTGAACTGAGCGGGAGGCTGCTAACTAGCGTTAGCTCCACCCGGCGGGCTAACAGCGGAGCTAACAGCGGAGCTAACAGCGGGATGGATCTGTTCGACGACCTTCCGGAACCCACACAGACAGCCGGTGAGTGGACTTTAATTAATGATTATATGTGATTAATTAACGGTTATATTTAATGTATTCATGGTTAGAGTTTAATGATGAATGCTCCGGTACCGACAGCCCACCACAGAGAGACAGAGAGCCCAGAGAAGATGCTCTGAATGGGGCAACAGCAGCGAGGTTACTCCCCCCTTTATCCCTTCTGCTGCATTTAAATATTTATATTAACTATAATAACATAATAATAATATAATATAATGTTTATATTAACTATAATATAATATAAATTTATATTAACTATAATATAATATAATTTAATTAACTAAAAATAATAATAATAATAATATAATATAATGTTTATATTAACTATAATATAATAAAAAATAATATAAAAATATATAACTAAAAAAAATAAAAATAATATAATGTTTATATTAACTATAATAAATAATAATAATAAATATAATTATTATAAAAATAATAATATAATATAATGTTTATATTAACTATTATAATAATAATAATATAATATAATGTTTATATTAACTATTATATAATAATAATAATATAATATAATGTTTATATTAACTATTATATAATAATAATAATATAATATAATGTTTATATTAACTATAATATAATAATAATAATATAATATAATGTTTATATTAACTATAATATAATAATAATATAATATAATGTTTATATTAACTATTATATAATAATAATAATATAATATAATGTTTATATTAACTATTATATAATAATAATAATATAATATAATGTTTATATTAACTATTATATAATAATAATAATATAATATAATGTTTATATTAACTATTATATAATAATAATAATATAATGTTTATATTAACTATTATATAATAATAATAATATAATATAATGTTTATATTAACTATAATATAATAATAATAATATAATATAATGTTTATATTAACTATAATATAATAATAATAATATAATAAATGTTATATTAACATTATATAATAATAATAAAAATATAAGTTTATATTAACTATATAATAATAATAATAATATAATATTTATATTAACTATAATATAATAATAATAATATAATATAATGTTTATATTAACTATAATATAATAATAATAATAATATATAATATTTATATTAACTATAATATAATAATAATAATATAATATAATATTTATATTAACTATTATATAATAATAATAATATAATATAATATAAAAAAATATAACTATAAAAATAATAATATATAAATAATTTTATAATATATATAATAATAATAATATAATATAATGTTATATAACTATTATAAATAATAATAAATAATGTTTATATTAACTATTATATAATAATAATATAATATAATTTATATTAACTATAATATAATAATAATAATATAATATTATATTAACTATTATATAAAAAAAAATAAATGTTTATATTAACTATTATATAATAATAAAAATAATATAATGTTTATATTAACTATAATATAATAATAATAATATAATATAATGTTTATATTAACTATTATATAATAATAATAATATAATATAATGTTTATATTAACTATTATATAATAATAATATAATGTTTATATTAACTATTATATAATAATAATAATATAATATGTTTATATTAACTATAATATAATAATAATAATATAATATAATGTTTATATTAACTATAATATAATAATAATAATAATATAATATAATATTTATATTAACTATAATATAATAATAATATAATGTTTATATTAACTATTATATAATAATAATAATATAATATACTGATGGTAGAATATTTATATTAACTATAATATAATAATAATATAATATAATGTTTATATTAACTATTATATAATAATAATAATAATATAATATAATGTTTATATTAACTATAATATACTGATGGTATTTAAATGGTAGAATATTTATATTAACTATAATAATAATAATGGCATTTAAATGGTATAATATTTATATTAACTATAATATAATAATAATAATATAATATAATGTTTATATGTTTATGATACTGAATATTATATATGGAAAAGTATACTATGCAGTAATATAATAATAAAAATAAATTATATTATAAATATTAGAAAAAAAACTTAGATATATAATAAGTAATACTGTATTAATATGGAGTTAATGCAGTATATCATGTAATAGTATATTATAATGTAGTAACATTACTTTCACTATATCCTGACATGAGACAGATAATCCGGTTCCTCTGGCTCCTCCTAGAACTCCTAACGGAACCGGCAAGGATCCACCGGGTCTGGACCAAAACCACCAATCAGAGCAGAGAAAGACAGTTTAACGTTTATTTATTTGGACCCGAGAATAAAACTCAGCAACCAATTATCTTTAATTTAATAAATGTTACCAACTGCAGCTTTAACGTAACGTAATCATCTTTTGATTTTATACTTAAAATCCTGTGTTTTCTCTGCTCATGTGATTCTTCCTCAGCTCCAGCTCCAGCAGTTCGATCTCAGTCCACCAACGAAGAAGAAGAGGAGGAGGAGGAGGAGGAAGAGGAGGAGGAGAAAAGATTGAAAAGAAAACGAGAAGATGCAGAGTGTCACACTGATAAAAAAGAGGAGGAGGAGGATGAGCGGGGGGAGATCAAGAAAGTTTGTAAAGAAGGTTTTCAGCTCTTCCACCACAATGTTTGTTTACTTCTTTTCTCTAATTAAAGACCTGAATAGACGGAAACTTGACCCGTAGAGACGAGTTAAAGTCTTATTTTTATAGTAAAAGTAGTTGAAAACAGCAAAATAACTTAATAATAATAATATATTTTATTTATAAGCGCTTTTCTAGATACTCAAAGACACTTTACATAAAAACATAAAAGCAGCAAAACAACATCAAATAGTAAAAACACATCGTTCGGTGCTTGGTCCTTGGTGGTGGAGTCAGGAGGTTTGCATCCGATGAGCGGAGGCTACGGGATGGATTGTGGCGGTGGAGCAGGTCAGTGAGGTAGGAAGGGGCCTGGTTATGGAGGGCTTTGTGTGTGAGGAGGAGGATTTTGAACTGAATACGTTGTGGGACCAGGAGCCAGTGGAGGTTCTGGAGCACAGGGGTAATATGGTCATGGGTGTGGTTGTGGGTGAGCAGACGAGCAGCAGAGTTCTGGATGTACTGGAGTTTATTTAAGGTTTTGAATGGTGTGCCGTAGAGGATGCTGTTGGTGAAGGCGTGGATGAGGGTTTCTGCAGCAGAGAGGGAGAGTGATGGGCGGAGTCGGGCTATGTTTTTATGTTTTTGAGGTGAAAAAAGGCAGTTCTGGTGATTTGGTTTATGTGGTGTTCAAAGGAGAGGTTATTGTCAAAGATGACTGCGAGGTTTGGTGGAGATGTAAAGCTGGACATCATCTGCATAACAGTGAAAGTTGTATGAAGAGGAGAGGACCAAGCACCAAGCCTTGGGGTCGCCTTGGGGTCGCTTTGGGACAGCGGAGCGGTGGAGGAGGTGCAGTTGTTCATGTGGATGAACTGTTGTCTGTCGGTGAGATAAAATTGGAGCCAGGAGACGGCGGTGCTGGTGATGCTGAGGGAAGATTTGAGGCGGGAGAGAAGAATGGTGTTGTTGATGGTTTCAAAAGCTGCAGTGAGGTCCAGGAGGATGAGGATGCTGAGGTGACCGGGGTCTGCGGACAGGAGGATGTCGTTGGTGACTTTGAGGAGGGCTGTTTCAGTGCTGTGCTGTGAACGGAAGCCGGATTGAAATGGTTCAAACAGGTCATTTGAGCAGAGGTGGGATTTGAGTTCCAGTATCTTAGACAGAAAGGGGAGATTGGAGATTGGAGATGGGCCGAAAGTTTGACATGATGTCGGGGTTGAGTACAGGTTTTTTGAGGATGGGGGTGACAGCAGCCAGTTTGAGTGAATGGGGGATTGAGCCAGAGCTGAGAGAGGAGTTGATGATTTCTGTGATGAGTGTGGAGATAGCTGGTAAACAGTCCTTGATGAGGTGGGATGGGATGGGGTCCAGGACACATGTTGATGATTTCATCCCTGTCAAGATTTTGGACAGCTCCCCTGACGACACAGGGGAGAACTGAGACAGGGGCTGAGAGGTGTAGGGGGGAGGAGAAAATGGTGGAGTGGGAGTGCAGACAGTGGGGGCAGGACAGAAGGACAGGTTGTAAATGGTGTCAATTTTGGTCTGAAAGAATGAAAGAAAGGAGTTCCATTTATCAGTTGTGAATGAGTTGGTGGTATTGTCACTGGGTTGTAGAAGTTTATTTACTGTGGAGAAAAGAGCCTTGAGGTTGGTGGAACCAGAGTGTATGAGGTGTGTGTAGAAGGTGGACCGGGTAGTGTTATACTGCTGAAGGTAATCTTTGTAGGCTTGTAGATGAACAGTTAAACCAGTTTTCTTATGGAGTCTTTCAAGCTGACACTCACGGGATTTCGAAACACAGATCAAATTAAAGACACATTTAGTCAAGGCTGCACAACAGTAATTAATGAAAAGGGTTGGAACGGGTTTAAGAGTCAGAGCTGATTTGTTGGGAAAGGATCCTGGTCCACACTTATCTTCCTTAATAGTTCCTATTTGGAGCCACGATTGCACGTTTTTGAGCTGTTCATCTGACCTCCGCCCCGTATCTAACCACCACAGTTGAGCTTTGTACTATCATTGACATATGCGTCCGCTACGCTCATGTGACTACGTAGAAGACTGATAATGAAACTAAATATGCAGGAAATGCAAAACTTTTTTGTATGTATACAAGTATAATATATAATGTAATACAACTACATATACAGTCACGCCCGAAATCATTCATACCCCTGGCAAATTTTGACTTACAGTTACTTATATTCAACCAGCAAGTTTTTTTTTTGAGTGGAAATGACACAGGCTTCTCCCAGAAGATAATAAGATGATGTACAAGAGGCATCATTGTGGAAAAAATTATTTCTCAGCTTTTGTGTACATTTGAACAAAAAGTGGCATGTCCGAAATTATTCATACCCTTTGCAAACTGTCACAGTCTATGGAAAAATTCAAAGTTCTATACCACTCCAAATAGTCCAAGCTGTTCTAAAGCATCCTAATTACCCTGATTCATTGGGAACAGCTGTTGGAACTCAACAGGTGATAAACAGAAGCTCTCTGCAGTTGGTTTGTGGACAGTCATGGCTAATACGAAGGAGCTCACTGAGGACCTGCGGCTGCGCATTCTGTTTGCTCACAAGTCAGGAAAGGGCTATAAGGCCATATCTAAATGTTTTCAAGTTCCAGTGGCTACAGTGCAAAGTATTATTTAAAAATTCAAGACGTTCCACACTGTGGGAAATCTCAGAGGACTTGGTCGGAAGCCAAAAGTGACACCTGTGCTGGCCAGGAGGATAGTGAGAGAGGTGAAAAAGAATCCAAGGATCACCACCAAGGCCATCCTGGTGAATCTGGGCTCTGCTGGTGGCAACGTCTCAAGGCAGGAAGACCAAGGGACACTGCACACTGCTGGGTTCCACGGACGCAGACCAAGGAGGACGCCACTCCAGATAAGACACACAAAAGCCCGCTTGGCCTTTGCAAATGCTCATCTGGACAAAGAAAAAGACTTCTGGTCCTCTGTTTTATGGTCAGATGAAACCAAAATTGAACTGTTTGGCCACAATGATGTATCCTTCACTTGGCGTAAAAAAGGAGAAGCCTTCAAAGCTAAGAACACCATCCCCACTGTCAAACATGGTGGTGGGAACCTAATGCTTTGGGGGTGTTTTTCAGCCAATGGACCAGGGACCCTAATCACAGTAAATGGCACTATGAAAAAAGAGCAATACATCAATGTTGGGATCCAAGGATACCTTTAAACATGAACTTGTTCATTTGAAGTGTTTAACTGAACATAAGGGAATATGTTAGTATCTGTCCACGAAGAAATGGTCATTACTACAGTGAGGCCCTTATGTAGGCAATAAAGCCTGCTTGTAGTGACTAAAGACAAAGAAAAAGGGCCCCCCAGATAACAGACCTCTCAGCGGGGGGCCAGAAATGTGGCCAAGGTGTGGCATGAAAGCAATAAACTCCGAAACAGAGTTTGAAGTCAGATTCCCTCGGACCCCAGACCCGTCATTCTGGCTATTTAAACCCGAGAGACTCTCTTCTCTCCCTCTTCTCTTCTCCCTTCGCTCACCTCGCTCGCCCACACGGGGTGGTGCGGCCCGACCCGCCACCGACGCACGACTAAGGATTATTGCGCAGCACGAGAGCCTGCTTCTTCCTGCGATCCCTGGCCAGTGCGCCGCTAATGGGAGTCAACATCTGTCAGCTGACTGTACCGGAGCAACGCGACGTTAACGCTGAGTAGTTAACTCTGCAGAGCAACGAGCGAAACGCCCTTTTCTCCTGCTACCTGCGCCAGCAGACATCGCACAGCAGAGACTGCTTGAACTCTAGAACCACAATTCTGATCAGCGTGGCTCACAGAACCGCCAGCTGATGCACGCAGCCCACCTGCAACTCTTCTTCATCTCCATTTGACTGTCGGTAACGTACTGGGCATAAACAGATGACAGAGTTAACTGCTAAACAAGGACTGTTTAATTACTGTTAATGTTAGATTTAGGGATGCACCGATCCACATTTTTTAACTTCCGATCCCGATACCTGAATTTGGATATCGGCCGATCCTAATACTATTCCGATACCAGAGCTGTGTTTGCTTTAATATTATTATCATTATTGTTGATTTTATATGGGGCTGAAATAAACTCCTCAACAGGTAAGTATGATATGTACGTATGTATGCATGTATGTCCCAAAAGGCAACTTGAGGTAAGTATAAGGTCAGAAAAACAGGAAATCCTGTTAACAGGAAGAATCCCATTCTGAAAAAAAATATGCAACTGTAAGGGTTTCAAATTGATTGTCAGGTCAATATTTATTAAATTCCCCAAATGTCAAATATTTGAGTCTTGAAATATAAGAAAAGTGCAATAAGTGTAAATGCTACACGCACACACACACACACACACACACACACACACACTATCAATAAAACAGTGTGCATCTGAACAGCATAAATCAAGTACACTGGCTCTTGTAGCATCAATAAATCAAGTATTTAAAATGTCAATTATCTGAAATATAAGAAAAGGGCAATAAGTGTAAACATCTCAAACACACACACACACGGAGGCTGTGTCTCATAACTCTGTGTCTCATTGAGCCGCGCCTCCGTTCAGGAAATCCATTCCACAGTTTGCAGCCAGCTAGCAGACTGGCCGGCAGGAATCACCTGTGGAGTCATTTCAGCAGACAACGTTAAAGCGCAGACGTGGCTCATGGATATCGGATATCTGCGCAGGTTGGATCGGGAAAATCCGATATGTGAATTACGCTGGTATTGGTCCCGATACCAATACTGGATCGGATTGGCCCCATCCCTAGTTAGATTGTATATAGTATTTCCCTCTGTTTGCTTTTATTACTTTTATTAACAACTACACCAATAGTAGTGACTGATGATGATGAACATGAAGAAGATGATGACGGGGACAATGAGCAGTGTTCAAATGTAAATAAAAGCTGAGAAATCATTTTTTCCACAATGATGCCTCTTGTACATCGTCTTATCTTCTGGGAGAGGCCTGTGTCATTTCCAATGAAGAAAAAACTTGCTGGTTGAATAAAAGTAACTTTAAGTCAAAGTATGAATAATTTTGGGCTTGACTGTATATATAAGTGAAAATGAAGGCTACCACAAAGCTAGCAGGAGCTGTTTAATGACAATAATATAACAGATATAACTCAACTCACTGCTGACTGGAGATGAACACATCCTGTAACATCCTCTGATGTCTGAGTTTCTTTTGTTTATTTTTAATCATTAGTTTGTTTCATAAATCCACTCCATTTACTGAAACAAGTTGTTTGACATCAGTAAACGAGGAGTGTGAATGCTAACGTCCGTGTTGTGTTGCAGGTCTCCCTGTGCTGAAAGGCTACGTGGCGGCGAGGCGTGGCGAGCGGGAGGAGATGCAGGACGCTCACGTGCTGCTGCCGGACATGACCAGCTGTCTGTCCGCTCTGCCGGGACGAGTGTAAGACCTCTGACCGCCGGCTGTCTGACAGGAAGTCATCAGGAGGGAGCGTGCGTCTCTATGATGTGTCCTCCGTGTCTCCCGCAGGTCTCGGGTTTCGTACTTTGCTGTGTTTGATGGTCACGGAGGAGCTCGAGCGTCTCAGTTCGCTGCAGAGAATCTACACCACAATCTGGCCAAGAAGTTCCCCAGTGGTGAGTTTTAAAGGGACAGTCCACCTTTAATTATCACAACATAATATTAATGACTTATTTCTGTTGTCTTAAACTACAAAAAGTTATTTCAGGTGAATCAGCGTAGCTTTGTCCCTCTGCTGCCTGTGGACTGATCTCTATGTGTCTCTATGTAGGATGAGGGTCAAAGGTTGTGACCTTTATGCTCCCGAGTGCCAACAGTGGGCAACACAGAGTCCAACACAGAGTCCACAAGTCAAAGCTAGTCCATTACACAGCCACAACACAGCGTACAAACAAGTCCACAACACAGAGCCACAACACAGATCCCCACGACACATATTGTCTGATTGTGCTGTTGACTGGATAACGTTAGCTTGGTTGCTAACATAGACCAATTGCTAACGTAGCAAAATATTGTCAGCATCCACACTGGGGGCGTAGTGATTTTTAAACAGCAAGCTAGTTAGTAGCACTTTGTACAGAGCGCGAGCAACAGGACGCTGACTGAAACAGTTCAATGAGAGTTACGTATAGAACATTTAAAGTTTTTGTGATTGTATTTAGATTATTATTTGTTTTTGATTTAATTCCAGGAGGAGAAGAATAAGCAACGCTGCCTCCTTAAAGGTTGAAATGTGTCGTCTCTTTCAGGAGAAACAGAGAATTTGGACAAGCTGATTAAGAAATGTCTCCTGGACACTTTCCGCCAGACAGACGAAGACTTTCTGAAGAAAGCTTCCAGCCAGTGAGTTCAACCTGCTGAAACAAACGCTGTCAGGCGGGAATGTGGACATTTCTTCTGTTTTATTCAATTATCTCAGAGTTTAACAGTGATCAGAAACCTCCTTAAAACTGAGGAACCTGCCTGAGAATCATCCTGTTTACAAGTTTCCTTCAGTATCAAAGTTTGTCCACTGCTAACAGGAGATGCTAATTCAGCGAATTCTTGCTTCTTCTGTGGTGTGGAACAGGAAGCCAGCGTGGAAGGACGGTTCCACGGCCACCTGTGTGCTGGTGGTAGACGACATGGTGTACGTGGCCAATCTGGGAGACAGCAGGGTAAACTGGGAATTCATTATTTTACTACAATAACAGGAATCTGACTCCCTGTCACTCCACGACTCCATCTCAGTTTTTACACTTGATGTTTCAGCTGTATAAACTTTTACTTTATTTTATATTAAGTTCTTCATATATTTTGTGCACTAAGATCTTCATTTGTAAAGCAACTAAAGCTGTAAGATACAGAAAGTGCAGCACTAGAGAGAATTTGTAGTGGTTACATTTCACCACCTGAGTTAATGTGACGGGGGTGTGAAGTTCTACTGAGGAGCACTCTGTCCATCAGCAAGCCAGTCGACTGAGGTTAAAACAATACAATTAATTAATTTAAAAACAAAGAATAAAACTGTTTAAAAGTCTTTAAAATGGAGCAATCAGGACGGCAGTGGCCTCTCTCCTGGTCCGTGGAACGCCTTTCTCTCTCGTCTTCATCCTCGTCTCCTCTACGCTCCCCCCGTTCTACCACGCCTGGTCACCGTCCCGCTCGGCTCCATCTTCCTGCAGCCTTCCCTGACGCTGGCTTCGTCCTGTCACTTCCGCACCGTCTGCTCCTCGCGACGTCTGCTCCGCACCTTCGTTCTCCGCCGCCCGTGTTCTCTCTTCCCACTGTCCGTCCGCGGTTCCCTTCTTCTGGCACTCGCGCTCTCGTTCCTCTATCCCCGTCTCTCTTACGTCTGCCGACCTGTGGTGGGAGTCAGGAAACCCGCCTGCCTGCACCAACCAATCACCGCCGTCCCTCCTGAGCGGACTGGTGTTCCTAATCCCCCCTCTAATGATCAATCTACCTGCGCACTCACACAAGGAGGGAGGAGACCAGCACATACACAAACACTCTGTAACATTTCGAGTTAATCTTAGTCTGTCTGTCTTTGTGCAGGCGGTGTTGTGTCGGATGGAGACGACGGGAGGAGCAGAAGATCAGAGGAGGTCGGTGACTCTGGCTCTCAGTAAAGAACACAACCCGACCATCTACGAGGAGAGGATGAGGATCCAGAGAGCAGGAGGGACCGTCAGGTACACAAACAGCTGGTCTGTGGGGGAGAGAGAGGGGGAGGGTGAGGGGGGAGGGCCCAGCCTCTCTTAGCCAGAATTACAGAAAACAACTCACCTTTTATTTGTCCTTTATTAATGAAGCTCTTTTACTTTGTGTGTGTTTTAGGGACGGCAGGGTGCTCGGCGTCCTCGAGGTGTCTCGCTCTATCGGAGACGGTCAGTACAAACGCTGCGGAGTCATTTCAACCCCCGACCTGAGGAGGTGTCAGCTCACAGCCAATGACAGGCAAGGACCACAAGACGGTCGCTGCTGATTGGTTAGAGGGGAAATCAGCTGACGTCAACACCATGTGACCCTGAAGCATAAAACAATTATATATATATAGAGATAGAGATATTTGTAAATTCTACCTCAGAGTGAAATTCAGATTCTGGTCTCTTTCTTTCTGAGACCCAGATGTTCATATTGGTTAGCCTAGCTTAGCATAAAGACTGGGAACAGGTGGAAACAGTTAGCATGACTCTGTCCAAAGTCCAACTATCACCTTTAAAGCTCACTGATGAACATGTTTATATGTGGTTTGTTTAATGGAAGGGAAAAAAAAAAAAAAGAAAAGTTGCTGACATCTGTCTGTCTCTCTCTCTCTGTCTGTCTCTCTGTTTCTCTGCAGGTTTATCATCCTGGCCTGTGACGGTTTGTTTAAAGTGTTTTCTGCTGATGAAGCTGTGAAGTTCGTCCTCGGCGTGCTGCAGGTTTCTGCTCTGCTCTACCGTACTCACTGTAGTTGTGGTGCACACAGATTTGCTTCCTCTCTGATCGTCCACCTGCTCTTGTTTCTTGGGATGTCGCATTATTGTCATTCAGTCTTTTTAAAGGTTATTTTAAAGTAAAATTCACTGCCACTGGATGTCACCAGAACAATGGGTGCTGCAGCCCACTAGACTCCATAGAAAAAAAAAACACAAATTTTACCTCACAGATCATAACTTCATTCAAAGTGCACTGCTTACAGGAAGTGCTAACAGCTAATACAGCTTCTTTTAATTGACACAGTTTCACTAAATGTAAACAAATAAGAGGCCAAAAACAACAGCACTCAAGTTATAGTGCTTACTGAATCCATGATAATTCCTGTTTACCTCCCCTAAAGCATCATGGGAACTGTAGTTTCAAAGCATAATAGAAGTAAGACAAAGACTAACATCAGGAGGGACGTTACTGTGACCAAACTACCAAAATAAGAGTTGTGATAAACAGTAATTATTCTTTATTGTGATTGTTTGTGTTGTTTGTTGTTTACAGTCTGCTTTATTTATCTCCCCACCGCCCCCTTTGTGTCCCCCCTGTGTAGGAGGGGAGTGTGGAGCAGAAGGCGGGGCTGACGGAGGAGGAGCTGAGGTTTGAAGCTGCATGTCAACAGTTGGCCAGCGAGGCGGTGAGGCGCGGCTGTGCCGACAACGTCACCGTGATCCTGCTTTCAATTGGCTGCTGAACACACACACACACACACACACACTCACACACACACACACACACACACACACACACAGCATCTGTCTGTTTCCTCAGTGTCTTGTTTGTTTTCCAATAAAAACCTTGTTTTCTTTATGTTTGTCAGAACTGATTCATTGATCCGACTATCGTTTCTAAAGTTCAGCTGGATATGTAACTTTCCTGCATGTCCTGGAAAACCTGGAAATGTACAGACTAGTTTTCTTGTCATGGAAACATCTGGAAATTTGAACTGTATTTTAGTGTTTGATAATCTGTACGCTGTGACACTTAAGAGCGAGTTTACAGACAGCAACTCTCAGTTCAAAGCTGTTCAACCTCCTCCAGTACAGAAAACAGCCTGTTAGTAATGACGACATTTACATTTGTTGTTTTTGATAAACTTTATCTTTTAATGGGTTAGAGGTGGAATTTTGTGTTTATTTAATTGACACAGTTTCACTTAATGTAAACAAATAAGAGGCCAAAAACAACAGCACTCAAGTTATAGAGCTTACTGAATCCATGATAATTCCTGTTTACCTCCCCTAAAGCATCATGGGAACTGTAGTTTCAAAGCATAATAGAAGTAAGACAAAGACTAACATCAGGAGGGACGTTACTGTGACCAAACTACCAAAATAAGAGTTGGGATAAACTGTAATTATTTGTTTTAATTGTTGTTTTTGATAAACTTTATCTTTTAATGGGTTAGAGGAGGAATTTTGTGTTTATTTATGCTCCGTTGAGGCCACAGCAGAAAAATAGTCTGTGGTGGGAACAGCCAAGTGCCACAAAAGAGGGTCCCATTAAGCACTAATTTGAGCAACTACTGTCCTGTATTGTCAAGAAAAACTCTTGGAAAATGATTTCTTAAAACAGCTGGAACCCTGAAACTTCAGCAGATAAAGTTACAGCCTCCAAACTAAACTAAAGGACTAGTATTCACAAGAAACTTTAACTCAGATAATACTAGTGTTGTAGTGCTCAAGATCGGTCTTTTTTTTTTTAGGTTCTTTGTCTTGTCTCGGAATCGAGGGCATTTTTACTCAGTCTTGTCTCGGTCTCGGACTGGACGGACTCTGGTTTTTTTAACGAGACCGGTCAAGACCACCGCTTATAGGCTTTTTGTCCATGCCTTACTGATACGAGTGAAAAAGGACCCTTATAAAAACAGCTAATAACTTTGAATCATTCGTAGTGTAACGATTTCCTGCAGCTGCTACCTGCCCGGTGTCAGTGTGAGAGTGACTGGCACGCCCCCTGCACACAGAGTTTGGAGAGACAGGAGGAAAGCGGCTGTGTGCACTCGCAAGGAAAGATGTCTGCCATATGATATATATGGTCTTGGTCTTGTCTCAGTCTCGACCTCCAAATGTCTTGGTCTTGTCTCGGTCTTGGTACTCTCTGGTCTCGGTAATGTCTTGGTCTTGGTTGGTGCGGTCTTGACTACAACACTAGATAATACAAGACCTTCATATTTCAGCAGTATTCTTTCATAATTTGTGGCTGAAACTTCTTCTTCTTTTCTTTCGTTTCCCCAGATGTAATTAATTCATCCTGTAATTACATAATGAATAACGCAGTACCAGAGCTGACCAGAGGGTGATGGAAGCATACAAATCACTCAAAATTCATATTTAACCATCATGTTTGTACCACTTTAAACATTAACCGCTATAAACAGCTCACAGCTCACTATGCAGCAGTGGTGGAAAGTAACCAAGTAGATTTAAAGTATTGTACTAAAGTACATTATAGGATACTTGAGTATTTTCATTTTAAGGTAGTTTATATTTCAACTCCCTCATACGGACCCGGGTGCCCGATGGTGTCATCGCAGGGCCAAAATCTGGATTGTCATTTGGAATATATCTTATTTTTGGACATTTGGCATCACTTACAAATGTCAAAGTATTTTTCTATAGGGTGTCCTGTGCGACAGATGTTAGTGCGTTTTGGAATCTCCTGATTCTTCTGAATTTTGTTTGTTATGCAGGACCCCGGGGCCACTGACCAATTCAATTCAATTTTATTTGTATAGCGCCAATTCATAACAGAAGTTATCTCAGGACACTTTTCAAATAGAGCAGGTCTAGACCGAACTCTTTAAAACATTATTTACAGACCCAACAGTTCCCACCATGAGCAAGACCTTGGTGACAGCAGCAAGGAAAAACTTCCTTTTAAGAGACAGAAACCTCGGCAGACCCCAACTCTAGGTGGTTGGCCTTCTGCCTCGACCGGGGGGGGCAATGACAGAAGACAAAGACAGGTGCACAGCAACAACTACACTAATAGTAGTGACTGATGGTGATGATGATGAACATGAAGAAAATGACGACAACGATGGGGGGCAATGAGCAGTGATTATAGTACTAATAGTAACTGTTGTTAATAATAATAATAATAATAATAATAATAATTACGCTAATATCAGTGATATTAGCAATCGGAGTCAAGCAGGACCATGGCAGGAGGCTCCACCAGGATCGATAAGAACCTGCGAGATGAGAAAGCACAAGAACTCCGGGGAAGAAGTGAAGTTAGTAACGTGCATTAATGGAACATGAATGAGTGCAGAAAGAGAGAGGAAGAGAGGAGCTCAGTGCACCATGGGAAATCCCCCGATAGTCTAGGCCTATAGCAGCATAACTAAGGGATGGTTCAGGACTCACCTGATCCAGCCCTAACTATAAGCTTTATCAAAGAGGAATGTCTTAAGCCTACTCTTGAATGTGGTGAGGGTGTCTGCCTCCCGAACCACAACTGGAAGCTGGTTCCACAGGAGAGGAGCTTGGTAACTGAAGGCTCTGGCTCCTGTTCTACTTTTAGAGACTATAGGAACCACAAGTAGCCCAGCATTCAGAGAACGTAGTGTTCTAGTGGGGTAATAGGGTACTATGAGCTCTTTAATATATGAAGGGGCCTGACCATGAAGAGCTTTATAGGTGAGGAGGAGGATTTTAAATTCTATTCTACATTTTACAGGGAGCCAATGCAGAGAAGCTAGTACAGGAGAGATGTGATCTCTTTTTCTAGTTCCTGTCAGTACTCGTGCTGCAGCGTTCTGAATTAATTAGAGCGTCTTAATGGACTTATTGAGGCAACCTGATAATAAGGCATTGCAGTAATCCAGCCTTGGTGTTTGGGTATTATATAATTTCATGCACTACAGTGCCCCCTTTTGGTTATTTTAACAGCAACAGTTGCAGCGCAAGGTATTTCTCTTTGTGCAACTAGCAGAGTGCATGGGCCTGCCTTTCCTGCTGGAGTTATCTTTCACATTGTTGCCTTGGACACTATTTGTCTGTGAGTATTGTTGATTTATAAGTTTTCAATGTTATATATATCATATAATTGCTCTGTATACATTCTATTTCTAATTCAGATTGCTTAATTGGTTGCTAGCTTAGCTATAGTATTAGTTAGCCCACTGTGATGCAGCATTTATGTTATGTACAGTGTGTTGTGTAATAATGTAATAGTATTGCTACAATATTGATTTAGGTTTGTATTTTGTTTTTGCAGTTTTACAGATAAAGAATAATTGTGGCTCCTTATTAAACCATCAAGAAAAGTTATGCCTTGTGTTTATTGAAGGACTACAATGGTCTGTTAACTGTCTAGCAGTGGATTAGGACTTCTCCTTGCGAGGGCAGTGTACCAGCCTAGAAGTAACAAATGCATGGATTAGTTTTTCTGCATCTGTCTGTGACAGGATGTGTCTAATTTCTGTCTCCAAGATTCCTGACAGTGGTGCTAGAGGCCAAGGTAATCCCATCTAGAGTAACTATATCTTTAGACAGTGAGTCTCTGAGGGGTTTTTGGGGCCAAGTACAAGACTTTTGTTTTTTTCTAGTTTAACATCAGAAAATTGCAGCTCATCCAGGATTTTATGTCCTTAAGACATGTTTGTAATTTAGATGATTGATTAATTTCATTGGGCTTGATCGATAGATATAACTGTGTATCATCTGCATAGCAATGAAAGTTAATGGAGTGATTCCTAATAATGTTGCCTAAAGGGAGCATATATAAAGTAAATAGTATTGGTCCAAGTACAGAACCTTGTGGAACTCCATGACTAACTGTAGTATTTATTGAAGATTCATCGTTAACATGTACAAACTGATATAACTAAGATATAAGATTCTATCTCATCTCCAATCTCTGAGTTGTGATATTGCCATGATTCAAGAAACGCACCTTACAAAGCAGGAGTCTCTGAAACTGAAACAAAGATGGGTGGGCCAAGTGTTTTCGGCCCCAGGCTCAGGAGCGGCCAGAGGTGTTAGTATACTAATAGCTAAAAGAATTTCTTTCACACCGTCTGCAATAAGAGCGGATGATGATGGGCGCTATCTGGTACTGTCAGGTACACTTCAGAATGAGAAATGCACCTTGGTTAACATCTGAGCACCCAACTCAGGTCAGAACCTCTTTCTCTCCCTCCTCAATATCCTGTTAGCTCAGTTGTTAGCTCCCTTATTGATAGGTGGCGACTTTAACCTGTTCAGTGATGCCAGTGTGGACTGTTCGAGCAGCCCCCTACCATCAGATAGAGCATCAGCAGCACCTTTTAGCGAGATGAGGAGCTCACTGGCACTTACTGACGTGTGGTGTTTGGTAAACCTACAAGAACGGAGGTATACATATTATTCAAACAAATGCAAAATTTGTTTCCCTGATAACACAAAGAACCAATGAATTCTTTAGAATATATATGAATTCAGTGTCATCCATGCAAACTGTCTGGGAAGCCTTCAAAGTAACGTGCAGAGGCTGGATAATTGCTCATTCAACTGTCAAATGTATGCTAAGAAATGAAAAGAAAAACGACCTATCAGCGAAAATTAAGACATTAGAGTCTCAACACATGGTTGACACAACAAATCCTGTCTTGAAGAAGGATCTTCTTATGGCAAGGGCTGACCTGCAGTCAATACTCCATGAGGAGACTGCCTTTGCTCTATACTGTCTGCGTAGAAGACATTTTGAAAGTGGCGACAAAGCATGCTCGCCTATCAACTTAAGCAGCAGGAGAACAAACAGTCAATTCCAGCAATAAAGGACAACAGTGGGAATATTATTTCAGAACAGGATTTAATAAGCTCCGCTTTTAAAGAGTACTACTCAAAACTATATCAGGCCAAATGTCAATCTCAGGAGCACAAGGTGGCAGAATTCCTTATGAATACTCACCTTCCTAAATTGAGTGCATAGGTTAGAGATGATCTGGAGGCACCAGTGCGGGATGCAGAGATTCTAACCGCAATTAAAAAGATTGCCAATGGTAAATCCCCTGGGGGAGATGGATACACCACAGAATTTTATAAACAGTTCCAGAACAGCCTGTCTCCAGTACTGACTCAACTATATAATAACATTATTGAAAAGAAGTCAATGCCAGCATCAATGCGCACGGCTACAATCTCACTTCTTCCCAAATCAGGAAAAGACCATTTAGACATGGGAAATTTTCGCCCTTAAAGTCTATTTAATAATGACTATAAAGTATTTGCGAAAGTTCTGGCTCTCCGTCTAGAGAAAGTCATTACCTCCCTGGTTCATATAGACCAGGTAGGATTTATACTAGGCAGACTCCCAGCCAACAATGTGAGAAGATTGCTTCAAGTCATGTTAAAAGCTAGCTCTCTCCAGTGTCCAGCGGTAGCGATATCGCTGGACGCGGAAAAAGCTTTCGATAGATTAGAATGGCCTTATTTGTTCCAGATATTGTCAAGATATGGTTTTGGAACATCTGCTGTGCAGTGGTTCAATGCCCTGTATAGTAGCCCTGTTGCCACAGTCAAGGTTAATGGTCTGATCTCTAAGCCCTTTCATCTCTACCGTGGCACAAGACAGGGCTGCCCCTTAAGTCCTTTAATATTTGTCTTAACTCTGGAACCACTAGCATGCGCCATTCATGAGCATGCCAATATAACTGGCATAAGGACAGGTGGCCACGATTTCAAGTTAAATATGTATGCAGACGACATTTTATTGACCTTATCAAACCCAATTCATTCAATACCGAAAGTTTTGGAATTAATTAAATCGTTTGGCTTGTTTTCAGGATACCAAATTAATTGGAGTAAGAGCGAAGCAATTAGGTTGAACTCTAAAACCTTCTCAGCGGACCTGAAAACCACCCCTTTTGTGTGGAGACCAGAAGGAATGAGGTATTTAGGAATAACCATCAGATCGCCAGTTTCTAAAATTTTTATCTTAATGGTCCTCCCCTCCTAAGAACGATTCGTGAAGACATCAAAAGATGGACGACTCTCCCACTGTCACTATGGGGCAGAGCAGAGGTAATAAAGACTAATATTCTACCGAGATTAACCTACATCATTGCCCTCCCATTGCAATTTCCACAGGGCTGGTTTAAAGAGATTGAGGCTTTATTCACCAGCTTCTTTTGGAAAGATAAGAAACCAAAAATAAACCGTAAAAAGCTCTCCAAACTGAGATCCCAAGGTGGGTTAGGTGTCCCAGATGTATTTCTGTATTATCTGTCATACGATGCAAGATTTCCACTCTCTTGGGGCTACAATGATATCTCAACCAGAGGTACCTGGGATTGGCTTGAGAGGGAATTAATTATGGAAAACACTTCACTATGGTATTGTCACAAATTTCCATCTAAATTAGAGAATCCAATCATTAAATTTACATGCGACATTGTGAAAAAGATACATAGTAATTTAGGCACCAGTGGAATTTCCCTCCCCTCGTGTCCCCGATGGAACAATCCCTTATTATCAACAGGTGGGAACCCATTATCTGATAAAGCATGGCAGAGTCTGAATATACATAGGCTCAGCTGATGGATGGTTCAATGCTTCCACTAACTGCGCTCAAGGCAAATTTTGGACTGCGTAGCAGCTCTTTTTTAACATACCTACAACTTAAAGCCAACTTAAACAGATTATCAATGCCGGGCAGTGCCATCGATTGCCACAAGGAGTTGGATGAGAAGTTGGAGGCTATCGCCCATGGGAGAGGAGTGGTATCCAAACTTTATAGGCTTTTATGCCTTTCCTCCCCCAATTGCAATACCTCGACTCAACTGCAGTGGTAGCAAGATCTGGGAATTAATTTTTCATCTTCTGAATGGGATAGCTTGTGGAGGAACTCAATTAATATGAGCAAATGCGGAAGATATAGAGTAATACAGATGAAGATAATGCATAGGGCATATCTAACTCCGGTCAGACTAAAAAAGATGGACCAGAGCCTATCGGCTCAATGTTGGCATGGATGTGGAGAAGAGGGAACGCTCCTCCATATGCTATGGCACTGCCCAGTCATTGAGTCCCTATGGAGAGAGGTGGCACATTTCCTGTCAGGGATCCTCAAAGTTGACCTTCAGCTTTCCCCTATAACATGCCTGCTCGGGGCCCGTGCTGTGCGCAATAAACACCAGAGTGGTTGCCCTTGCGTGCCTCTCAACAAAGCGTATGATTTTAATGAATTGGAAGGCGAGGAAACCCTCCTGCTTCTCCAGAGATAGATGGCTGGAGGAATTCCTTTTAGCATAGAAAGAGCCATCTCCATCCTTAGGGAGTTAGATGAGGATACAAGCGAGCTCTGGGTCAGCATAAGATCCTTCCTCGGTGTACAAGCACACAGATACTTTTGTCCTGTTTAATTTTTTCTGTGCAGTATTCAGAAGGTTACTTCGTTCTGTACGCCAAATTACTTGCGGCATTAAATGCAGCACTAAGATCTAATAATACAAGTACAGAGACAAGTCCATTGTCAGAAGCAATCAAAAGGTTGTTATTAACTTTAACCAGAGCTGTCTCTGTGCTGTGATGAACTCTAAATTCTGACTGAAAATCCTCAAATAAGCTATTGTTATGTAGAAAGTCACACAACTGTTCGGCGACTACTTTCTCCAGAATCTTAGAGAGGAAGGGGTTAGAAATCTATAGAGTGGAAGCGCAAAGAAGTGTGTAAAACAGCAGCTCTGCTTCCTGGTCCTAACTCTGGACTGTCAGGTTTTAGAAATAAACATAGTCATATTCCTAGATAAGAAAGCCGCTCTGTCCAAAGTGGGATCGAGGCCGTCTCTCCTAATCAGACCAGGTTTTCCCCAAAAAGGCTGCCAGTTGTCTATGAAGCCCACATCGTTTACTGGACACCACCTCGACATCCAGCGGTGGAATGACGACAGAGAAGACTACGGAGTCCGACATTGTTTTAGCAAATCTACACACCGACTCCACATTAATTTTAGTGACTTCCGATCGGTGTAATCGGGTGTCATTACCGCCAACTTGAATAACTATCTTATTATATTTACGCTTCTCTTTAGTCAGCAGTTTTAAATATGATTCGATGTCGCCTGCTTTGGCCCCAGGGATACATTTAACTGTTGCCGCTGGCTTCGCTAAATTCACGTTTCTGACTATTGAGCTGCCAATAACCAGAGTTGGTTCCTCAGCGGGTGTGTCGATGAGTGGGGAACATTTATTGTTAACATGAACCTGTTTGTGATGAACTGTGGGCTTCTTCTGTTTGCGACTATGCTTCCTCCGAACAGTCACCCAGTTTCCCTGGCTTCCCAGGAACCACCACTGAGTGGTTTGTTTTTATATTTTTGTGAAGGGGAATTAACTGCAAACCAAATCTACCTTTGGGTACAAATAAAGTAAGGTTGGTCTTGGGCTGCATGTGTATATGAAAGATGGTATATAAATACATTTAAGTTATATATACCATAGTTTTACAATCTCACAGCTCACAGTAATTCTACATTGGAAGGTTACGACATTATGGCTGATAATCATAATACTCCATTCAGAATATGAATGGCATTTTTATTCCATAACCTCACTGTTGAGCTCTGTTGTATTATTCACATGGTTACCGTTATTTTTACTGTAGTAACACATATAACACAGAATTATATTTCAACTTTTATTACATGTGACACTGCTATCTGATTTTGAATCTGTTTATCTGTACAGGTGTGACACAAAGAAATCCAGAGAAAACTAAAGACTTTATATTCGTTCACAGTCCTTTTACCTGTGTGCAATTTAAATGTACAGTTATGTACAGATATGTATAGAGGCACTTTGGGTTCAGAAGATCTGAATGAAGACAAGAAGAAAGTCCAGGTCCAGGTGGAGGAGGTGTCTGAGTGTGGAGCAGTCTCAGTGTGTCTGCAGAGAATGTAGACGGACAGAGCAGCAGCAGAGCGCTCGAGATACACTGAGGATACTCTGTCACATGACAGCTGATCTCAGAGCAGTTCAGACTGCAGCACTGAGCGTTGTCTCCACTGGTTGTGATTCCTCTGTCAGTCACTGCTGGATGAAGCTCTCCTCTCCACTCTACCTCCCAGTAACATGGCCCAGTCAGAGCTGATGCTGCTGCTTCAACCTCTCTGGATCATCAGGACACAGTGGATCCTCCAATGCAACCTCCTTCCTCACCACTGAGAGTCTGACTGTGATCACCTCCATCTTAGGAGAGGAGACAGACAACAGCAGTGATAAATCAGTGTTTACAGAGACTCCCTCCATCAGCACATCCAGTATAAAGACCAGCAGGGACTTCAGTCCAGTTCAGACCAGCAGTGGAGCGGCTGTGTAGCGTAGCCTGCTTCCTTTCAGCTCTCATGTTAACGTATTGGATTGAACACACTGAGCTGAAGCTCACAGACCTGCACACACTTTGGACATCAAGTCTGCTGACTCTGCAGATTTCACTGAAGTACACAGTGGAAATAAAGTGCTGAGAGTCCCTGAACGTATCATTACTGCAGAAACAGAGAGACATTCACTGCCCTCTGGAATGATGCATTTACTGCTGTTAGGGTTCAAAGCTGATGAAAACCACAGTCTCAGTCACATTTGAATGTTTCTCTATCTGAAATTTTACAGGACAAATGTGTAAATATTCAAATTATTTGGACAAACAAGAGAAAAATGGACGGATATATATCTGATGTTAAAGGTCCTACATGTTCATACAAAGACTGAACAGCAACACATCAGCTGTGGGTACTGGACAGACTGATCTCAGAGCTGTGACAAAGACCAACTGATCAGTTGTTTAGTGTAGAAATGAGAGAACAAACAGTGTGAGATCAGACTGGATGAATGAGGACCACTGTCTCTATACATCTTGTAATGCTGTCAGCTGGAATCCAGCTTTATTTCCTGAACACATGAACACAACAACAACAGTCGTCTTCACATCAACTCAAACACATGATCACAACAAGCTTCTGGCTCTCTGATTGGCTGACTGTTCTCTCTCTGTCTGTCTGTCTGTCCAATCCTGAAGCCTGTCCCCATTCTCCTCTCACAGCTTCACTGAGGAAAGCAGCAAATACTGGATCTGTGTTTAGTCTAAGACTGCTGGAACCAGCATGGATTAACTCAGACCCTCTACTGACCTCAGAGTCTGCAGTCTACAGTGTGGACTCTTCACAAGATCAGACAGCAGCTTCACATCTGAATCCTGCAGGTTGTTGTTATTCAGGTCCAGCTCTCTCAGATGGGAGGGGTTGGACTTCAGAGCTGAGACCAGAGAAGAACAGCTGATCTCTGACAAACTGCAGTGCCTCAATCTGAATAAATAATAAAAGATGTGAGTTTAGAAGACAATGTTCCTGCTTGAAATTATTCAGTGTTTAATAATCTGTTCAGAGCTCAAGAAGGTTTACAATGTACAAGTTTAGAAAATGGCTGAAAAAGGTTACGCTATCAGACAGAGAGCTAATGTTGTGCTATTAGACAGAATGGACCCCCAGCAGCCAATCAGAATGCAGGATTCACACAGACCATGGTATAAGGATGAACATCAATTACGTGGAGTTGTTAATGAAAGATATCAGATCTACAACAGAAAACAAGTCAGTGAACTACAGCAGAGTCTCCAGTCTACTGACTCCTCCAGAAAACCACACAGCAGCTCCCCTGAATCCTGCAGCTTGTTGTTGTGACTCAGGTCCAGCTCTCTCAGATGGGAGGGGTTGGACTTCAGAGCTGAGACCAGAGAAGAACAGCTGATCTCTGACAACCTGCAGTTCCTCAATCTGAATAAGACAAAGATTAATATGACTTTATTGTCCAGTAAATGTAATACAATGTCAATTCTTCTTTGGCCCTGTATGAGATAACACACACCATGAGCAACAACACACAATAAATCCATGTTGCAGTGGAAGAATGACTGAGTGGCAGGTGACAGTAATAAAAGTGATGATGGCTTTTCTTCCACTGCCATATGAGCTTTGATTCCATCACACCAATAAATGATAGACAGTAACTGATCAATAAAACCAATCAAATCAATGTATATTCAAATGGGGGCAGGAAGGAGCCTATTTAAAGAGGTTCTTATTGAGGATTTCTAGGAACCAGTCTTCCTGGCCACTGGGACCTTGCTGAGTGGTAGGATGGGGGGGTCATTATAGATCTGGACTGCCTTTTGGTTGTGGATTAAGAAGTCCTGTAGTTGCAGTATCTTTTTTTGGGGGGGGCAAGCGTAGAGTTTCTGTCCAACTACATTATGATAGAAATAGCAGCGCTGTCCCCTAATAGTGGAGTTAAATGTTAGTTGACGCACTTTTCATCAGTCAGATAGACGCAGAAAAACAAACTTTGACTTGTCACCAGGACTAAAGTATCAGGGGATTGTTGTAACACTGACCTTTTCTCTTGTAACACAGCAATGCTGCATGTGCTAACTGTGCTAGCTGCTGCCACTAGCTAGTTAGGGGTCCTATCAGCTGACTACACCCGGACTGCGAGCCGTTGTACCAGGGGAGGTTTGTTTACACCACCAGCACAGGAGCTTTGGACTGCGGGGAGTGGGGCCAGAATGAGCACCATAGAGTGGGTCAACAGAGGCTCAGCAGCCTCCCAGTGACCACAACACCAGAACCGAAACACAGCCTCCGACAGCAGGCGGCTGTTAAAATATAGATATTTAAAGAACTCAATGAATATCAGAAACACTGGATGACTAGTTGACTGCTGGGTTTAACTAACGACTACTAGTTGACTGGGAACTCTTTAGTCAGGGACAGATCTAGAAATCAGTGTATTCAGTGTATCTATAAATCCATCCATCCTCTGATGTCCTCCTTTGTGGTTGGACATTTTCATGAGGCTGTGATTGTCCTTTATTAGCTTTTAGAATAAAAATGTTCTCACTACAGTAAAATGGTTACTATGGGGATGAACATCATCACACAGGAATACAGTTGGGCTCATTGAAGAGTCTCAGCTTTCCAGTTGATGTGAATCCAACACTGTTCATGGACCCCAGTATGCAGAAATATTCAAGCCAGTTTTGACATTACTAAAATGTAACTTTGGAGAGTTATTTAGCCTCATTCTGGACGAGCTAGACCAGCATGACCTGGTTGGTACCAATGGATGTCTGAGGTGTTCTACTTTTATATGATACCAATATCTTCACTCTAGATTAAACTGAGAGTGCTACAGCCTCTGAAAGACAGTAATGTCAGCCGCAGACACTTCCCAAAACACCTGAAAGTGGGGGGATGAAAAGTCTTGTTGTTCAACATGAAAATATGAACAAAAGGAAATTAAACCTTTATGGATGGAAGTTATGAATCAGCATCAATTAGGTTGAGTTGTTAATGAAAGATATCAGATCTACAACAGTAACAGAGAGTCAGTGAACTGACCTCAGAGTCTCCAGTCTACAGTGTGGACTCTCCAGAAAACCACACAGCAGCTTCACTCCTGAATCATACAGGTTCTTGTTGTTACTCAGGTCCAGCTCTCTCAGATGGGAGGGGTTGGACTTCAGAGCTGAGACCAGAGAAGAACAGCTGATCTCTGACAACCAGCAGCCCCTCAATCTGAATAAAGAATAAAAGATGTGAGTTCAGAAGACAATGTTCCTGCTTGTACATTCTAAACCTTATTCAGCTCTAAGCAGATTATTAAACACTGAATGATTTCAAGTTTGGAAAAAGGATAAAAAAAAGTTATGCCATTAGCCAGAGAGCTAACGTGCCACTTTGAGTAAGAGAAAAAATGTTGCGCTACGAGTCAGACAGCTAACGCAAAGCTATGTTACAGAGAGCTAATGTTACGTTACACTATTTGACCAATAACTAATATCACACTACGAGTCAGAGAGCTAATGTTACACTAAGAGCCCGAAAGCTAACGTTACGCTACGAGACAGAGACCTAACATTTCACTGGAACATCTCAGTAGGTGTCCTACATCAGGACGTAATGGACACCCAGCAGCCAATCAGAATACAGGATTCACACACACCATGGTATAAGTATCAACATCAATTAGGTTGAGTTGTTAATGAAAGATATCAGATCTACAACAGTAACAGAGAGTCAGTGAACTGACCTCAGAGTCTCCAGTCTACAGTGTGGACTCTCCAGAAAACCACACAGCAGCTTCACTACTGAATCCAGCAGGTTGTTGTTGTCACTCAGGTCCAGCTCTCTCAGATGGGAGGGGTTGGACTTCAGAGCTGAGACCAGAGAAGAACAGTTGATCTCTGACAAACCGCAGTTCCTCAATCTGAATAAAGAATATAAAATGTGAGTTTAGAAGACGTTCCTGCTTGAAATCATTCAGTGTTTAATAATCTGTTCAGAGCTGAAGAAGGTTTACAATGTACAAGTTTAGAAAAAGCTTTAGATTAGTGTCTATCTGGACATATCTGGGAGTCAAACACATAAAGTCTCAGTGCATCAGCTGTATCTGTTCGGGAGGGAGGAGTTAATGCTAAATACTGTCTCCTCAATAGTTTTATTGCAACCTTTATTGTATTCATGTTCATTTTATACTTAATTCACTTCGTTAGTTTTCGTGTTTTTTATTCTTTTAATTCTTGTCTTGTATTTGTGTATTTTTCATATTTAGTGTTATTGTGTAAATGTGCCTTTAATGTGTCTTAAACACTCGGTATGTACACAGATCATGGGGGTAGAAGTAGATGGGGACGATCTGTCGTATGATCTAGTTTCTTTTTATTTACTTTCTTTATGATTTTATTTGTAGTGATTTTCAATATACATCTGTTATCTGTTATTAAATGTACATGTTGTGTCACTTTGAATGGAAACAATAAAAAGCACAGTTACAATAGGTCCAGTGTTGAGGTTCTTCCAGAATCCACTTTGTGGGATTTGGGGTTCAGTTTTGAACTATTTATTTTCATTCATGTTTGTTCTTGTCTGATCGAGTGCAGTGATTCACTGACACACTCAGATGGATCCTCACTCACTGAACGTACTAAACACAGTGAACGTGTCCTCAGCCCCGAGTGTTTCACTAAATACTCATTTCATTCTGCAGCACATTGTAGAATAAATCCTACAGTGTTCTAACACCAATCCAGTTTGAGTACAGACGAAATCTGGAGCCAAATCATTCAGACTGACAGACTTTAAACAAGAGCTGTTGTGATTTGTGCTCAGACAAACCCAGAAAGCAAAAGAACTGAAGGAAATTTAAAACTTCTATTATATTTGGTAGATATACACAGAGCAAACACATGAACTGACCTCAAAGTCTCCAGTCTACAGTGTGGACTCTCCAGTCCAGCAGACAGCAGCATCACTCCTGAATTCTTCAGGTTGTCGTTACTCAGGTCCAGCTCTCTCAGATAGGAGGGGTTGGACTTCAGAGCTGAGGCCACGACTTCACAGTGAGTCTCTGAGAGTCCACAGTCAGAAAGTCTGTGAATACAGAGAATATAACCTTTAAAATAAAATCTGATTGCATTTAGATCACAAAGCAAAAAAAGACACACAGAAATCATTCAACATTCATATTTAACACAACATGTTTAAATGTAAGTTGTTGTCCCTTCATGCCACACACACATAACATATAAATATTACATTTATAATAGAATAAAATAAAATAAAATAAACAAAATATACAGTTATTTACATAAATAACCATAAACCCATAAAATAGTTCTGCAGTGCATTTTTTGAATGTGGTTCTGGGGGAATGTAAACAGCTACAGAAAATTGCCTTCCCAAAAGAAAAAAACATTTAGACATGTCGTAATTATCAGTTACTGTCTCGTAATTACAAGGAAAGATGTTGTGATGATGAGATCAGATCTTGAAAAAGTGGACTGGTCCCCACTCATGGTTTAGCTTAGTGGTACCCGGGGAGATGTTGAACAACAATCTGGTTTGAATTTTCATATTGTGTGTGTGTGTGTGTGTGTGTGTAAAGTGTGTATATTGACTCTAATACTGATGACTTCAACATTGCTTTATAATGTTAATCACATCTGGACTTACACAGCCTTTCTGCAGTTCCTCACAGCTGGAATCAGTCTCCGTCGTCCCTCCTGTGATGTGTTGTACTTCTTCAGGTTCAACTCATCCAGAACCTCCTCTGACATCTGCAGCATGTAGGCCAGAGCTGAGCAGTGGATGTCAGAGAGTTTCTTCTCTGATCTGTTCTCTGACTTCAGGAACTCTTGGATCTCCTGATGGACTGAGTGGTCGTTCATCTCCGTCAGACAGTGGAAGATGTTGATGCTTCTGTCAGGAGAGATTTTATCACTGTTCATCTCCTTCAGGTTGTTGATGGCTCTCTGGATGGTTTCTGGACTGTTGTCTGTGTGACCCAGCAGGCCTCCTAAGAGTCTCTGGTTGGACTCCAGAGAGAGGCCATGAAGGAAGCGAACAAACAGGTCCAGGTGGCCATTTTTACTCCTCAGGGATTTCATCATTGCTTCCCTCAGGAAGTCATCCAGAGTTAGGTTAACATATTTGTTTCCAAGGAAGTCCTTTAGTAACTCTGTGTTGCTGTTGGTGTGACAGTGGAACATGTAGACTGCAGCCAGAAACTCCTGAATGCTCAGATGAACAAAGCAGTAGACTGTTTTCTGGAAGATCACACTCTCTTTTTTGAAGATCTCTGTACAAACTCCTGTGTACACCGAGGCCTCTGTGAGATCAAGACCACACTGCTCCAGGTCTTCTTGGTAGAACATGATGTTTCCTTTCTCTAGCTGTTCAAACGCCAGCCTCCCTAGCTTTAGAAGAACCTTCCTGTCAGCCTCCATCAGCTCCTGTGGACCCTTCTCATGTCCGTCATCATACTTCTGCTTCTTCCTCTTTGTCTGATCCAGCAGGAAGTTTGAGTACATGTCAGTCAGGGTCTTGGGCAGCTCTCCTCTCTGGTCTGTAGTCAACATGTGGACCAGAACTGTAGCAGTGATCCAGCAGAAGACTGGGATTAGACACATGATGTGGAGGCTCCTGGAGGTCTTGATGTGTGAGATGATCCTGTTGGACAGATCTTCATCACTAACTCTCCTCCTGAAGTACTCCTCCTTCTGGGCGTCAGTGAAGCCTCGTACTTCTGTTACCCTGTCAACACATTCAGGAGGGATCTGATTGGCTGCTGCAGGTCTGGAAGTTATCCAGACGAGAGCCAAGGGAAGCAGATTCCCCTTGATGAGGTTTGTCAACAGCACATTGACTGAAGACTTCCGTGTGACGTCAGACACAACCTCATTGTTGTGGAAATCCAGTGAAAGTTTGCTTTCATCCAGGCCATCACAGATGAACAAAAGTTTACAGACAGCGAGCTGCTCTGCTGTGACCTTCTGTAATGTTGGATGGAAAACATGGAGCAGCCTGAGAAGACTGTACTGCTCATCTTTGATCAGGTTCAGCTCCCTGAATGAAAGCAGAACCACCAGACTGACATCTTGGTTGTTCGAGCCCTCTGCCCAGTCCAGAGTGAACTTCTGCACTGAGAAGGTTTTTCCAACGCCAGCGACGCCGTTCGTCAGAACCACTCTGATGTGTCTCTGTTGGTCAGGTAAGGCTTTAAAGATCTCGTGGCACCTGATTGGAGCGTCATGGAGGGTCTCCATCTTGGAAGCTGTCTCAAGCTGCTTCACCTCATGTTGGGTATTAACCTCTTCACTCTGTCCCTCTGTGATGTAGAGCTCTGTGTAGATCCTGTTGAGGAGGGTTCCACTTCCTGTTTCATCAGTTCCTTCAGTCACACGTTCACATCTCCTCCTCAGACCGATCTTATGTTCATCTAAAACCTCCTGCAGACCATCATCTGCTGGAAAGAGAAGAAGATATGGGAGACAAAATAAGGAAAATTGACAATCCTCTGATTATTTTCAAAGATTGGAATAAAACATATTAAATAAAAGTACTGAAAGCTGAACATAGAGAGACTTTTAGAAACAGATCTTTCTCTATGGTCTCCAGCACAGACACATGGGAGTGTTGATCACTTTAGAGTCAGACGTGGCTTTTGTTTGAGGGAGGAGGATCTCAGGTTGGCCCCTGTTGACCATGATGATACCATCAGAACACCAACAGCTAGTTTTTTCCTGCTATGAGGCTGCAGTGGAGATGCACGTGTTCACAGTTTGACACAATGTGGCACAAAGACAAAGTAAGCAAACATGCTGAAAACTGTTTTTTACCAACAGTGTAAGTACAGCACAGTTTAAGCTTTTTAATGTGCTGAGACTGATGAGCTAATTAGCTACTTAATGATGTTAGCAGTGCACTTTTCTTCAGTGGATGTTTATTTGGTCACTTGTTCAACAAGTCAGTCTGCAGTATGATGTGTGTTTCTAAGTTAGAGAAGAAGCAGTCACGAGCAGGAACGCCAATGTGAGCTGTTGTTTAAAGTCTGTGGCTCTTGTTGCGTCTCAGGCTGCTGTCTGTCTGTGATAGAACAGTGATGTTACTGCTTTACACAGAGTTTAATAGTTCTCCATCTCCATCTATGCACACAGAGAACAAACAGCATACTGACTGCTTAATGCAAAGACAGGGGGCGCTATCATAAAACCAACATGTGCCAATATGTTTTCTCAAAGGAGAACGAGGACAAGTGCAACTATGCAACTACATTTAAATGTATAAAGGTGTTAAATGGCCGTACTGTATGACACAACTAATGTATTAACACATCAGCAGACAGGTATACAGTCTTACTTTGTCTTGTTCTGGGTCTTTCTCCAGACTGGGGACAGGAGGCATCTCCTGATGAAGCAGACTGGTACCAGTATGAGGTGATGCACTGTCTGCAGAACCAGAGTCCAGAGCTGGTAGAGACTGGATCCTTCAGGACGTCCTGACACAAAACACAGCAACTCCTCTTCCTCTCTCTGTGAAGACATTTCTTCATAAGTACAATGATTTTTTGACTGTAGTTGAAACATATCAAGATGTGTCCACTGAAACTCAGATGGTCACAGAGAACAGTAAAAGTGTTGTTACTTTTCTGTTTGAATTCAGCATTCAGTCCTAAAATGAATCCATTGTTCCTTTAATTTCAACTCTCTTGCTTTCACAAACACCAATGAACATTTAATGATCAGCCTGTAGTTAGTTATTAATACAAACTCAAGACTTCCCGCAGGTCCTTCACAGTAAAAGTCCTCCATTAAAGAGAGCTCATTATGTCCATTACTGTTTAATACCTGCCAACCTTGGGTCAATATCAGGGCCGCCCCCTAATAGTCCACTTAACTGTTAGTCGCTGAGAACAATCTTAGTCGACCCACTTTCCATCAGGGAGTCGTGCCTCGTCACCGGGACCAAAGTATCAAAGGATTGTTGCAACACTGAACACAGGTAGTCTCTTACCGCTGCACTGCTGCATATGCTAACTGTACTAGCTGCTGTCAGCTAGTTAGTAGTCCTATTAGCTGTCTGTACCTGGACTGGGAGCTGGAAGGACAGGGGGAGTTTAAGCACTACTAGTGTAGCAGCAGAGGGACCCAGCGGGGAATACTAGCCACAGAACCGTAGCAGGGCCCAATTGAGCCACAGAACCGAAGTGGGGCCCAAATGAGCCACAGAACAGCCAGTATTTGTTTTCGTGAAATTAAAGTTATTTATTCTTGTTTTAAACAACCAGACTGTGTGATGTTACACTGTTGAAATAAATGAACTAAATGTTCAGTCTCCTTGCTGGTTGATCTGACACATTCAAACTCATTCTGTTAGCATTTAATGACCTTTTAACTGCTTCTGACAATGGACTTGTCTCTGTAGTTGTCTTGTTAGATATTAGTGATGCGTTTGACACCACTGACAATTATATTTTATTACAGAGACTTGAGCATCTTATTAAAGGAGCTGCACTAAGCTGGTTCAAATCCTATTTATCAGATCGCCTTTTTTCATTTGCACAATATTACAGAAATTAGACACAGTGTGTCACAACAGTTTAGTTAGTAAATACATTTTAGCAGAAATTTTAATATTTAAACACAAAATCACTGAAAACATGCATGAGCAGAGGGAACTGAAAATGAGTCATATACATGAGTTTGTATCAGTTCTCTTACTTTAAGTCTGAGGGTCCAGGTTCATTACTGAAGGTTGGAGGATGATCATTGGACCAGTCACTCTTCATAGACAGACAGCTGGACGCTGCAGACTCTGCTCTCTGTCTGTTGGACTGAACTCTGCAAACACCAACATGTTTTCATTCATATTGTTGTTGAGTTCAGCTGTTTTTCACTTTCTATACTGATGATTTCTCTATAGATACACCAACTCAATACAATCTAAAGTATTCTGATGATACAGTTCTAAAATCTGTGTTCAGTAAGTCAGACAACTCTGGGCTGCACCAACATGACGGGAACAAAGTCGTTGAGTGCAGTGATAACAATGCTCTTGAGATTAACATAAAGAAAACTAAAGAAATAGTTTTTGGTTCACCCTCTGACTCTCATAAAGCTCCTGTTGTCATCCATAAAGAAACAGTCAAGCAGCTATTTTCGTACAAATACTTAATGACACACCGACTGTTATCCTTTAAAGACCACACTGAACTTACATCCAAACAGACAAAACAGACTTTATTTCCTCTGCCACATTACATCTTTAGGTCCGAGAAGACAAATTCTTCTTCTGTTTTTTCCTTCTGTGATTATGAGTGGTTGGTAGTATTGTTATACGACATGATACAAATGTCTGCCCACTACTTTAAAGTCAAAACTGCTCCACTGAATGAGAATCTGCTCAAAGATTGTCGTACAATCTCTGTACAGACTCAATGAATCAGCCTTCCATAATATATTAAGGCTGTCCAACAACATTTGACCCCAACCAGGTCCTGAACAGTGAATACAAGCAGTTACCATCAAACTGGAGATACGAGGTTCCACCATTTAACAAGTTTAGACTGAAGCACTCTTTTGTGCAGCAGTCGATCCTAAAGTTAAATATGGAGTTTAATCTGAATCAAATGCATGTTGAAGGGCCTTGAATATGGATGTTTGTCACAGCAGCCATTGGGACATGAAATAGTAGGGTAAACTCAGGAGTTACCTGTGATACTAGATCTGATCTAGACCTCAAGTATAACACAACTCCACTTTTTAAACTTCATTTCCAGAAAAAAACATTGTCTTATATTCGGGCCAATATAATCATAAAATGGTAATGATATAATTATATAAACTGCAGTCAGTGGTTGTTTTCTTACTGTGTGTCTGAGGGTCCAGGTTCATTACTGAAGTCTGGAAGTCCACCTTTGGACCTGTCACTCTTCATAGACAGAGAACTGGATCCTGGAGACTCTGCTCTGTCCTCCTCTTTCTCTCCTTCTTTCATGATGGCTTCCATGTGTATGAGCTCCTCGTCCTGCAAGTTGTTAAATATATCTTGATATCTCTCAAAGAGTTTAACAAGAACAGAATATACAGTTTGAGTGTTTTTAATATCATACTACCAAGATGTCAAGAGTTATGGATGGCAAGTGCAAGAAGTGATTTTGAGGGGATTCCCCCTGCCGCGACCAACTCCTTCTGAAAGCCCTTCTGCTGCTTACATTGTACGTACGAGGCCCAAAACTACAGGGCTGGATCGAACTTTGATCTTATTGATCTAATAAAACAATAATAATACGTTTTACAGTGCCTCTCAAAACCAGACTTACAAGGTGCAAACACAGAATATAAACCCAAAGTTAACTAGAAAATAAAATAGAAATTTAAGTTAAAACAAAATGTAAAAGTACAATAGAAAACATTCAATAAATAAATATAAAACATGCAAAAGTGGGTCTGTAAGAGTGTGATTTCAAAATCTTTTTAAACTGAGGCACTGACTCAGCTGACCTGATACTGAGGGCGAGATTGTTCCACAGCTTTGGAGCTAAAACAGAGAAAGTATGTTTGTTTTCAGTTTGGATCAGGGAACTTTCAACAGTATGTGATTCTCTGATCTGAGGGGTGTCGGAGCAGAGTGAGGGGGGGAAAGTTCTGAGATGTAAAGTGGAGCCAGGCCATGTAGGGATTTAAAAGTGAAGAACAGAATCTTAAAGTGAGTTCAGTAATGGATGTAGAGCCACGACTGTAGTGAAGTGTTCCCTGCGTTGAGTGTTTGTGAGGAGTCTTGCTGCTGCATTCTGAACTGACTGCAGTTGGTTGACTGCTGTGTTGTTCAGGCAGTAAACAGTGAACTACAGTGTAGGCGGGACGAAATGAGGGCGTGTGACATCATTCTGCACACAGCTACATAAGTACACTTTAATACGAGTGAGTT